CTCAGGCACATGCCAACCGTGCTCAGCCAATGGCTGTCGAGACGTCGCTGACTGAACTCGGCCCAACACGAATAGCAGAGGATAACCAACAATCGCACCACGAGTTTACGTTTAAAATAAGGCAGATATATCGAAAGCAAGAGATGATGAATTTGCACAGGCGCTCTCTCATCTCCTTAAAACATGGGAGTGTTCGTTTTTCGTTTTTAATGCCACAATTATAATTCTCCGTGCGTTTGGACCAAAACCCCAAGCATTTAAGTGACTCTTAAAAGTTTTCTAATAAAGAGTAAACACGGCCAGGGGAAATCGGCCCGCAGTTATAACCGTCCCATTGGCTTCTGAAATTTCACCGCACGCGTCTCTCCCGGTGAGAATAAAAATCTTTAAATATTGCTCACTCTGTGCCACAAAAGCGAACGCTTTTAAGTTTGTTTTTCAAAGACATTTTTTTATTATTAATTCTCCCCCCCCAACCCCACCCCCACCCCCACCGTTGACGCTAACCCGCGTAACCTTTTCACTTTTAATTTGCGTCAGCGCCGGGGTTGAAAGGAAGCCACTCGGGCAACGGTGGGGACGGGGATCAGATGGGGAGGGAGGGAGGGTGGGAGGGCCCCGCTATGTAGGGCCGCCATCGCCCTCGTCGCGTCGCCGTCCTCGCTTCCCGAAGGCGCCGGGTCCCGTTAGTCCGGCCTCGCCGCCCCCTATGCCTCTCACATCCCCAGGGGCCTGGCCCTGGGAACTCCATAAAAGGATTCTTTGTGCAACATCAAAGGGAGCCGTGGGGGGGAGGGAGGAGGGGGGGCGCCCAAGATGAAAAAAAACACACACAACGAGCAGGCAGCCCCCCCCCCCCCCCAGCTCAAATTACATCAAATTGAAAACAGCCGCTGGATGGACAACAAATACAGCCCCGGCACGAGCCCTTGGGCAGGAGCAGGGGCTAGGAGGAGCGCCGATGATCTCTTAACGCTACAACAGGCGGCCAATTAGGAGATGCCCCTGGGAGGCTGGTGGGGGTTTAATGACAGGAACCCCCCTCAGCCCCCCCCCACCCCTCCTTCAGCTCACCTCCCCCCACTGGCCCCGGCGCTGCGCTTTGGATACAGTTTAGGGAGGGGGGGGGACTCCAAGTAACTCAAGGGGGACGTGAATTCGTGAAAAAAAATAAAGTGGGTGCATCAAATATCGCCTGAAATTCAAATCCTAATACACATCGCGAGCCCATTGCCGCAGACTTTTCAATTAATCTGTTTCCTCTCCGTGTTGCCTACATCTCGCTCGCTTCTCCCGCCTCGGTATATTTATACGTTGTCTACACGTTTATCTAATCTCACCACATCCCCATCTCTCATCCATATCTCTGCTGTCATTTCAAGAGGAGTTTTTCCTGTGAGACACGGGGCGGCGGGAGCAAAGCTGCGAAAAATGGCATTGCTGCTTAGAGACCCCAATAAGCCAGCATCACCCCTGTCGCTGGTGCTACCAAAGACGAAGATAGCACCAACAGACTCTGAGGGCAAGTGCTGTAAGCGAGCACCTACGAAGGCGGCAATGGACCACGAGGGGGTGGGTGGCCAGCACCGCGCCCGGCCGCCTTTGTCTCCGCAGTGGCGATGTTTACACACCGCGCCAGGTACTCACTTTGAGGCCGAGTCGACCTAGGGGGATAATCGTCAGCCGGGGTTTGTGGCGCATCACGCTGACCGCTCTGCGCCACCGCTCTCCCCACAGTCGTCACCACCAACGTTCCCCCCCCCCCCCCCGCCGCCGCCGCTAAGGAGAGGGATTTCACTTCACAAGGGCCGTCGGTGGAGTTTGTGAAGGAGCCCGCAAACGCCAATGGGCGAACCTCCCTAATGAGGAACGTGGTGGTGCAGTTTTATGCTTTTTCTTTATACACGTAAAAAGCAAAAGGGTATTTAATGCAGTCACTTTTGTTTGTGTGCCAGTAACCGCCGACGGAATTTACAAGAGGAGTTAGAAATCTCTGAGGCTTGTTAAAAATAAAAGTTAAAAGCGAGCGTGCTCTCGTAATGACGCTGACGAATTTAAGGGCGGACTTTTACAAGCGAGCGCCGCGTGACACCGCGCGCGCCTCGTCTTAGCTCCGTGACCTCAACAAATTGGCGCTGCCTCCGAGCGGCAGGTCGTTGGAGCGAAACGTCGGACAATCGTGCCGAACCCACGCGAGGCACGACCCGAAAGCGTGCCGCAGGGTCACACAGCACGGCCGCGAACACCGACGCAGAGCACAAATGTACAAATAAACTCTTGTAAAATGATAAGTTACGTGATGCAATAGCGTGTATGTACTCGTTAGTGCTACGTAACAAAAAAGTGATTATAAAATCGTCGTGCTGTGTGACTTGGCAGCTGAAGGGACTGCTGCTTTTGGTACAATCGCTACTGGGTCACGCGTCGTAAACTTGACCGCTCACGTCTCATCTTAAAGTCACGGAGTAATTGTTCCCTGAGGAATGACCAAAGCGTGCCAACCAACATACTGTTTACATCCAACGCCCTGAGATACACTTTCCACCTTTGTAAACATCCCTTGCTCATCGTCATCATCATCATCAGCCATGATTAATCCACTGCTGGATGAAGGCCTGCCACAGTCACCGACTCCTACAATTCGTGAACATTTTTATTTTAACCGCATAAATTACACACAGCTGTACGGTATTAAAAAAAAAAGTTTTGCTGGCTGGCTGGCGCGCGGGCAGGCAAGTGCACGGTGGTTACGTCACCGCGCACATCTCACGAGCCATGATCCATCCACTGCTCGATGTTTGCCTCCCCTTGCCATGACAATCTCTCACGGATTGCGATGCCCCAAATACAAATTCACTCCTGGCTGCTATTCCGTCACGAGTCTTTGACCATTGACCGTCATCCCTCCTGGCTGATGTGTCCAACCCGAGTCCACTTACAAAATAAATAAATATACATAATGAAGGAGTTTTTTTGGGGTTAGATCGCATTTTGTTAAAACTGCCACAACCCGACACAGCTAATTAGTAAGTTTTGTCACGTAAACTAAACGTGCCAAAATAAATGTCTCCGAATTGTGTTCACTGATCCACGTGTTCATCACTCCGCCTCTCAGTGTAATTCCAGGTATGCACCTCAACCGGGAATCTTTGTGCACTTTTCAAGCTGTTGTTCCAAAAGCTCTATTGTCAGCGTCCACGTCTCTGGTCCATTACGCAAAAGGAAGGTATTGGGCACTGTTTGAAAACTTTCTTATTTTTCGCTGGGTGGAGGTGGCTATGCACGCGGCCTGTAATCCAGAACTGTGGAGGCAGTGAGGGTTGGTGTATCGCGCACAGATGACGTTGCGAAAATCCCTTCCCATGGGCCTCGACGAGGTTCCACATTCTCTGGCTCGCCCGAGCTGTTCCGTATGTACGGGATAGAGCGTTGCCCCCTCGCACGCGTGGGGTTTCTCATGGTGCTCCGGTCTCCTCCCACGTGTAAAACGCTCATTAATTGGCCCATACCACACCTTGATATATAGAGGACCGCAGAGCTTGGGCAATTATTGACACTGGCTCATCGCTGCGTGGCTTCCTTCCTGCCCGTCTGTGGTTGCTCCTCGCGCATCTTGAGTCGTTCCGTCTCTGCAAGGGCGAGCGGATACTGCGCGGCACGTTACAAGTTGACATCATCGCAAGAATAATTATATTAATAATTGTTATTACTTAAGCACATTGGTTGTTGCTTTTCATGATAAAATTCATTTTCCAAAAGCGATCCATCCTGCTCTTTTTGCCCGTTAAATTTCATTGTTTTTATTTATCAATATCCACTTTCAAAAGATTCCCTCAGATATATGTTATTCTGTTTCACATTAACGTCCCTCCAAATATAATTTTATTTAATAATAGGGTTTCCCCCTTTTTTCTGGCAACAAAACTGAAACCTTTTTACAAGGATTCATGTTACTACATTAACCACAATACCTGCAGTCAAAATACAAACAAAAACATACTATGATAATATATGCATTGTCCTTGAAACTGATTGGTCCACACCAAGGGACGGCTTTCTTTTGAGCCTCGACCCAATTGGTGCTCGACCAGAGGACGTCTTCTAGAGAAAAGAGGAAAACCCCTATTATTACATTTTGGTACTGGCAAAGGAGGTCTAATGATAATTTTATTTATTTACACGTTTTGTTCTTCTCTAGCAGCATTAAAAAAACACTCACTTCGCTATTGCAAAATATTATTTTATATAATTCAAAGATAAATATCATGCAAACCACACAGTTACAATTGTGTGGGAGGGGTGGGTTCATGGTTAGCGCACTGTCCTCACTCGTCCTGAGCACTCGCTTGCCCTTCACCAAACTGCGGTGACCAGCCACGGTCAAGGATGGTTAACAACAAACAAATAAAACCCCTCCACAACAACTGACGAGGCATGAGCAGGCCTTCCTCCAGACGTGTGTTCACAAATGCCTGCAGGCCACTGAGTCGGTGTCAACGACGAACGCAATGAGTTCATTTTATTCTAATTTTATTTGTGCCACTGTCGACGCAATGTCCCTTGTGAATGTTGACGTCATTGCCTAAGTCGTCTCAGCGATGAGCCCGAACGCTGCCCCGGGCAGCTGCTGCCCTCTGGCGTCCGGTGCTGGAATTGCGTCGCAATTTTGGTTGTCGACGCAACGCCCAGATCCTTTCACTTTTCCCAAATCCAGTTCCGGATCGACTGTGACGATCACCACTCACCGCCTTCAAGATCCTCCGGGGACTTGCCACTGCCTGGGTCTTCCCTGTCCTGTCGCTCAACTCCCCGCTCTCCCCTCTCATCTCACTCTCCCCCACGCACTCTCCTACCTCTCCCCTCTCATCTCACTTCACTCCCCCCCACGCAGTCTCCTACCTCTCCCCTCTCATCTCGCTTAACTCTCCTCCACGCACTCTCCTACCTCTCCCCTCTCATCTCGCTTCACCCCCCCCCCACGCACTCTCCTACCTCTAACCATCGTGTACCAAAATTACATTTGAACAAAGTTCAACAATATTATATACAACACAGCCCCTACCATCCACTTATAGCAATAGTCGCTCTTAGAAAAAATACATTATGTGTGTACATTACAAAACTTGCATACAGCTAAATCCCAGATGTTCTGACTCCCGATTGCTGTGAGTCCCAGGTGCTGTGAGTCCCAGGTGCTGTGAGTCCCAGATGTTTCGAGTCCCAGTCACTCCCAGTCCCAGTCACTCCGAGTCCCAGTCACTCTGATTCCCAGTCACTCTGATCCCCAGTGACTCCGAATCTCAGGTGTTCCGAGTCCAAGGTGCTCCGAGTCCCAGTCACTCCGAGTCCCAGTCACTCCCAGTCCCAGTCACTCCGAGTCCCAGTCACTCCGAATCCCAATCACTCTGATTCCCAGTCACTCTGATTCCCAGTGACTCCGAATCTCAGGTGTTCCGAGTCCTAGGTGCTCTGAGTCCCAGTCACTCCGAGTCCCAGTCACTCCGAGTCCCAGTCACTCTGAGTCCCAGTCACTCCGAGTCCCAGTCACTCCAAGTCCCAGTCACTCTGATTCCCAGTCACTCCGAGTCCCAATCACTCTGATTCCCAGTCACTCTGAGTCCCAGTCAATCCGAGTCTCAGGTGTTCCGAGTCCTAGGTGCTCCGAGTCCCAATCACTCCGAGTCCCAGTCACTCCAAGTCCCAGTCACTCCGAGTCCCAGTCACTCTGATTCCCAGTCACTCTGAGTCCTAGTCACTCTGATTCCCAGTCACTCTGATTCCCAGTCACTCCGAGTCTCAGGTGTTCCGAGTCCTAGGTGCTCCGAGTCCCAGTCACTCCGAGTCCCATTCACTCCGAGTCCCAGTCACTCTGATTCCCAGTCATTCTGATTCCCAGTCACTCCGAGTCTCAGGTGTTCCGAGTCCTAGGTGCTCCGAGTCCCAGTCACTCCGAGTCCCAGTCACTCCGAGTCCCAGTCACTCTGAGTCCCAGTCACTCCGAGTCCCAGTCACTCCGAGTCCCATTCACTCCGAGTCCCAGTCACTCTGATTCCCAGTCACTCTGATTCCCAGTCACTCTGAGTCCCAGTCACTCCGAGTCTCAGGTGTTCCGAGTCCTAGGTGCTCCGAGTCCCAGTCACTCCGAGTCCCAGTCACTCTGATTCCCAGTCACTCTGAGTCCCAGTCACTCCGAGTCTCAGGTGTTCCGAGTCCTAGGTGCTCCGAGTCCCAGTCACTCTGAGTCCCGGGGCCCGCGTGCACCGCTTGTCACGCCAGTTCAGGGAACAGAAAGGAGTGTACGTCCCTGACGGCGCTGGCTACGAGGCTCCTGATCGGCAGCTCCGCGGGCAGACGCTGCTCCACGGCCAGAGGGTGGAGGTAGAACCTGGAGGAACGAGGGCAAGGAGAGGCAGGGTCAGAGACAGACAGAGAGAGAGAGAGGGGGAGAGAGAGGATTTGAGAGGGGGGGGATAACAGCAGTGGTGACTCCCCATTTAAGCAGCACGACCGCACGCACAAAAAAATAACAACCCCATCACAATAAATTTGGTTCTGTTATGATATTCCATCTCTGCAAACGAGAAGCATTGTTTTAGCTGTCACGTGACAAACATTGCTGTCTGTGGCAGGACCGGTGGGAAAGTGATGCCCCCTACTGCATGCACCAGAGGTCAAGCGAAGGGATCTCAGAAGGAGCTCTGCGACATTCACTTCGGTTCGCCGTTCTCAAACTCGTACGTATGTTGAACTTCTTTAGCACCGTACGTCGCCAACCGTGCTAATCGGTGCGACTGAAGGGTGGCACCACTCTGCGAGAGATCCGACGAGATTTCATTTCCCGTCCGATGACCAAAACGCGGGCGGCGCGAATAAAAAACGTGAAACTGACAAAACATAAAATCCCTCTCGCGGCACCTGAACTCCTGCGCGTGGTCCCTCGCGACGCGCTCCCTCCAGCGCGCGCTGCGCCGCACCAGTGCCTCCACCACGCGGAACAGCCGCAGCACCAGCAGCGCCTGGCGCGGCGAGAGGCCCTCCCCCGGCGCCGGCACGGACGGCCGAGTCGCCCCCCCCCGACTTCCTCCCGGCCCTCCGGCGGCACCGATCCCGTCTCCCTTAGGCGGTGCCCACTTGCGCAACAGGGCCCCCATCGACCGGCGGAGCAGCGACGTCTTAGGCCGCAGCCACACGGGGCTCGGATTGTCCCGTCGACGGGAGAGGCCGACTACGGCGGCGGCGGCCGACGAGGACGATGGGAGCGACGGCCACGGGGGGTCTGGGGGCTCCGGGTCGACGCGAGCGCCGCTCGTGGGTGACGGCCCCGGCCCGGCCGGGTTCGCCGACTCCGGTGGCGTCGCGGCCGCGTTTGTGGGCCGCGCCAGGGCCCGCGTCGCTCGGCTCATCGCGGCCGCCACGAACGTCTCCTGGCGATGCAGGCGCACGCGTGCACGGGCAACAGTCTACGTACGGTGCAAAAGAAGTTCCTCGCCGCCACGGCTACCTGCGTGGATGCAGGGCGCGGTATCGGTTTGTCACCGGTGGCTGACCCAACGTGCGAGAAAATAACATCAGGATGTTCTAGACTACGGTCACGTGCAGATTTGAGCTAAACTATTTTATTTATTTGACCAGGTAAGGTCCCGCTGAGCCGTATGGCTCTTTTTCAGAAGCGACCTGGCCACAATTGACAGCTGAACGAAGTGGCCTATCGCGTGGAAATTCATAGCAACCAAGATTACTCCGGAGCGAGACGACAAATCCGCAGCCACCTCGGGGCGATTAATTTGAATGAAACAAAAATTGCGGCAGAAAATAATGCCAGAGTTGAATCGATTGTTCAATTCATTAGTGCGATACCATGTATATACAGGGTGTTTCAAAATGTTGAACGATTATGAAAATTTCCAACAATGCCACAAGGAACGTGCTCCCTCCGGGCTCTGGTAACCACCTGGAGAAGATTCCAGGTATGCGTTGACAACGATGGCGAACAAGCGGAGACACGTTACAGTGTATGATCCGTTATTTTTCCATTAACAACGATAGTCCCATATAAGTGTAAAAAAAATGTAAACACCCTGTATATCATTGGATGACTACTAATGTTATTAGAGCATACGTATTTCGATTGAAAGCTTTCGTGATTGCAGGGATTCATCTTCTTGGTTCTTTCGGTAAAGTCACGTAGAATGAAAATAAAATAATAAAAATAAATAAACATGATAAAAAAAATTCTCCATTCTACGTGACTTTACCGAAAGAACCAAGAAGAAGAGCATACGTATATTATATCATCTTATTCTAACTTTATAGAGCGCCTTCGCTCAACGCTATTAGTAAACCGTAACTCCGGTTATCCCTGTATGAGAGCGGATATTAGGAATAAACCATCGGCAGTTAACGGACCTTGGCACAGAGCAGCCGTGGGGAGGTGGGTCACAGGAGCACGGAATATCCGAGTCACAGACACAACGAGGGGCACCGCATTTGGTTACATTCCGAATGACAAGAGTCTTTATCCATTTCCGCCAATGATACTCAGGAGGGGTCAAGCTGTTCAAACACCAGATAGACGCAGCTATCGCTAGCCATCAAGTCTGCATTGAACACACACGTGCTTGTGGTGAAAACATGGAAACAATCGTCCTTTGATGATGATATACTTTGTCCCATTATTTTTTCATCATCTCGAGACACACAGATACATCCCTCGTGCTATGTATACTCGAATCATCGGTATCCTGCTCTCAGCCTGGTCTATCCCCACGAGCTCAGAGCTGCCTCACCCTTAACTCTTCATTCCAGGTTAAAACAACAACAACAACATCGAAACTCACCACTGTTCGGGCCATGCCTAAACAGTGGCGTCAGTGCTCGCTCTGTCGGTTTAAGAGAACGGCCCCCGGCTCCTGCCTCTGGCCTGGAGGACAACGTCAGCCACGAGGTCCCAGCGCGTTCAGGGACTCCACGGTCACGCTCACCGTGGCCGGAAGCCCCTCGAGCGTGGAGACGACCCACGCGATCGTGAGGGGGGGCCTGGCAGCGCCGGAATTCCATTCGGCCTGAGAATAAACAACGCAAAGATACAATAAAAAAAGGTCTCACCGCGTAGCCTCAACAGACTCTCCGGGGCAAGTGCTGTTAGCGAGCACCTATTAAGGCTGGCACGGTACACGAGGAGGGGTGGGGGGGGGGGTGTGGTTGTCTAGCACCACGTCCGACCGCCTTTGTCTCCCCAGTTTACACACCACACAGGAGCTTACAGGAACGCGCGGCTCTCCATGCAGTTGTCATTGGCACAGCCATTGCCACACCCCCGATTAGCACGGTTGGCTACGTATGGTGCGAAAGAAGTTCAATACACGTACACGTCTCTTGATGTGTGGAGCCGTTTAAAGATCCACTGCTGGATGAGGTGCTCCCCCTGCCTCTCGGTCACGGGGGGGGAGGGGGGCACTTAACCATATTTCACCAAGCTGGTCAGCACGGGTCCGTAAAGTGTCAGGAGAGCCCAGGACTGGTGCAAATCTTACCCGCAACTGGCCTTGCCCAGGGACAGGAATCACACTCAAGCCTGCGGGTGCACGGCGCAGTGCGCTAGCTACGGCGCCAGCGCTCCGTAACCTTCTATCTGCTGATGAATATTTAACAACGTGATGCACCAAGCAACTTTCCAGCGCCCCCCTGGGGCTTAGGCGACAGGCGGCTCAAACTCGCTCTGCGAGTGCCTGACGATGCCCCCTCTGTGGTAAAGGCGCAGCGCCGCTGCTGGCGGAGAGGGCGCTCCACTACTCCTAGACGGAGCTCTGGAGAGCACCTCTACGATGTCGTTTTGGCCTACTCTGCTTTTTTTGTGTTCAGTTTGTTGCCCTTACCCCCAGCACCTACAATTAGCACGGTTGGCTACGTACGGTGTGAAAGTTGAACATACGTGGGTACGTCTCGCAAGAGGTGAGAGTAGCCGAACTTTACCCCACAGCGGCGGCGCCAGTCTATACTTGTGGGTGGGCAGGTGCAAGGGAATGAAAGGAACTTGCACCGCTGTTTCAATTGCTGTGCCTGGAAATTGACTCAGCGACCGTCGGATTGCAAGTCCAGGGGAGTGAGAACCCGCGAGATGATGCAATATTTATACTTAACAAGCATTCATACTTAAAAGTAATTTTAACCTTAAATCGCTAAAAAAAATATATATACAGAACAAATCAGTGAGCAAACTAAATCTAACCTACTCTTATTTGACCAGGTACAGTGAGGCAAAAAAGTATTTGATCCCCTGCTGATTTTGTACGTTTGCCCACTGACAAAGAAATGATCAGTCTATAATTTTAATGGTAGGTTTATTTGAACAATGAGAGACAGAATAACAACAAAAAAATCCAGAAAAACGCATGTCAAAAATGTTCTAAATTGATATGCATTTTAATGAGGGAAATAAGTATTTGACCCCTCTGCAAAACATGACTTAGTACTTGGTGGCAAAACCCTTGTTGGCAATCACAGAGGTCAGACGTTTCTTGTAGTTGGCCACCAGGTTTGCACACATCTCAGGAGGAATTTTGTCCCACTCCTCTTTGCAGATCTTCTCCAAGTCATTAAGGTTTCGAGGCTGACGTTTGGCAACTCGAACCTTCAGCTCCCTCCACAGATTTTCTATGGGATTAAGGTTTGGAGATTGGCTAGGCCACTCCAGGACCTTAATGTGCTCTTGAGCCACTCCTTTGTTGCCTTGGCCGTGTGTTTTGGGTAATTGTCATGCTGGAATACCCATCCACGACCCATTTTCAATGCCCTGGCTGAGGGAAGGAGGTTCTCACCCAAGATTTGATGGTACATGGCCCCGTCCATCATCCCTTTGATGCGGTGAAGTTGTCCTGTCCCCTGAGCAGAAAAACACCCCCAAAGCATAATGTTTCCACCTCCATGTTTGACGGTGGGGATGGTGTTCTTGGGGTCATAGGCAGCATTCCTCCTCCTCCAAACACGGCGAGTTGAGTTGATGCCAAAGAGCTCTATTTTGGTCTCATCTGATCACCACACTTTCACCCAGTTGTCCTCTGAATCATTCAGATGTTCATTGGCAAACTTCAGACGGGCTTGTATATGTGCTTTCTTGAGCAGGGGGATCTTGCGGGCGCTGCAGGATTTCAGTCCTTCACGGCGTAGTGTGTTACCATTTGTTTTCTTGGTGACTATGGTCCCAGCTGCCTTGAGATCATTGACAAGATCCTCCCGTGTAGTTCTGGGCTGATTCCTCACCGTTCTCATGATCATTGCAACTCCACGAGGTGAGATCTTGCATGGAGCCCCAGGCCGAGGAAGATTGACAGTTATTTTGTGTTTCTTCTATTTGCGAATAATCGCACCAACTGTTGTCACCTTCTCACCAAGCTGCTTGGCAATGGTCTTGTAGCCCATTCCAGCCTTGTGTAGGTCTACAATCTTGTCCCTGACATCCTTGGAGAGCTCTTTGGTCTTGGCCATGGTGGAGAGTTTGGAATCTGATTGATTGATTGCTTCTGTGGACAGGTGTCTTTTATACAGGTAACAAGCTGAAATTAGGAGCACTCCCTTTAAGAGTGTGCTCCTAATCTCAGCTCGTTACCTGTATAAAAGACACCTGGGAGCCAGAAATCTTTCTGATTGAGAGGGGGTCAAATACTTATTTCCCTCATTAAAATGCAAATGAATATATAACATTTTTGACATGAGTTTTTATGGATTTTTGCTGCTATTCTGTCTCTCACTGTTCAAATAAACCTACCATTAAAATTATAGACTGATCATATCTTTGTCAGTGGGCAAACGTACAAAATCAGCAGGGGACCAAATACTTTTTTCCCTCACTGTAAGGCCCACTGAGCCGACACAGCTCTTTTTCAGAGGCGTCCTGCCCACCACAAATGCCAGCTCAACAAAGTGGCTTATCACGTGGAAATGTACAGCAGCCAAACACGCCAGAGGCATGCTTCTAGATGTGGAGGGGAAAACCGGAGGACGCTGAGACAATCTACTCGGCCACGGGGAGAGAGACGCGCAAACTCCAAATATACAGCCGGAGTCAGGGTTTGATCGGGATTGAACCCACGATTCCCTGTATACCAGGCGAGGTAATTAACATCTCGCCACCGCGAGTAACGAAGAGCACCCACGATCGCAATGCATTTAGGAATCGAATGCATCGCTTGAATCGAGCAAGCTCGCGGGAACTTGGGACGAGTCGGTGGTGGGAGGGAGTTCTAAAGACAGAAGTTGGGATCGCTCACTTCGCTTCGGCCGATCTTACCGTGACTCCACTCACTCCTCTCAGCCGTGGGTACCACTGCGTGTGCCAAACACAGACACGCCAGTCGCCTTGATTAAAAAGGGTTCATCTCCAGTGCCGGACTAAGCGAGTGCGGGGCCTGTAGCATATGTTATAAAGGGGCCCTAAATAAAACAAAAAAATATAAAACACAATTTTTTTACTTGCATAGTAAAGTAATTATTTTCTGCTATACAGCCAGATAATATACGACATATCGCTAACCTTAAACACAGGTGCGGAGCCAGGGGGGTGACAGGGTAGACAATTGTCACCCCCGAAAAAAAATAAAAAAATCGAAAATCTGAAACATTCTGCGTATAAGTGTACGACACTCGGTCTGGCGGACTCCGTGCAACTGCATCGTCAGAGTGTGTCGCCAACCGATGGCGTCTAGTTCAACAGCCTGACTCTCTAATCATTCTTGAAATAAAAATTTGTTGAATGTCACCCCGGGCTGAAAATCCTGGCTCCGCCCCTGCTTAAACACCCAGTCGTTCATGAAAGTTGAAGGCGGTATAGTACTATAGTAATAGAGCAAGCGCACAATCACTGAACCGGAATTGATCACTTGAAAGCATTTAGCGCGGGGCCCTTGAAAGTGCGGGGCCCGTAGCTACATATGTAGCTACTTTTGCTACTAGGATAATCTGACACTGGTCATCTCTCAGATTAACGAACTAAACCTAAGACGGATTGGCTCGGCCCTGCCAGCTGGCTTCTGGAGGAAACAAAAAACGCGATTGCTGGGAACAATTTTGTTGTTTTGTAATCTCACTCACATCGCGAGCCGGTATCTTTACATTTCACGAGGGGCCCCCGAATTACGAACCACTGCTATTCGATCCGTGTGAGGTGGCTTAATCGTTGCCATTGTACCAGAGATGGGGTCAGTGTGATCTCGGTCCGAATGTTTCTCTGTGTGTATATTTGTTTTGATCGTAGTCTTCAGACGTCAGACTCCGTCACTTCCTATGGAAAGGTGGCATTACGAGGTCGACAACAGCCGTCGGTAGTTACATCACTTTTGTTGTCATTGTTGTTTTTTGCCGGGTGGGAATGTCCCAAGTGTAAAAAAAAAAACATGAAAAAACATTGACGTGAAACCCGTGCAAGAAGTTACTGCGAACAGGCGTCTCAGCCGAGTAGACGACATCCCGCGGAAGTTAAGTCTGTGGATTTCATGTAGTTTTTTGTCTTTTATCGCTATCGATTATTAGGGCAGTTGGCGATGTAGCCCAGTCCTCGTTATTAACTGATGGTGTGAGGGGTGCACAATCTCGCCCCCACCCAGCTGAACCAATCGTGAACCTCAGTAAATCTTCGCAATTGCCGTGCGTGGTCTTCCACGGTGTACTCACAGTATCCCCGGAAATATTACCGAATTATCTCACACGCACTGAAGTCATCTCGCCTTAGTCGGTCGCCGCCACGGCGTCTGGCGGGCAGCAGTCGCGGCCATCGTGACGCCTGCCGGTGGATTTTTCTTCTTTTCGGAACCCCGTTAGGAAACACTTGATGAATATATTCTTTGGGTCTTTCGGTAAAGTCACGTAGATAGGTTGAAGGAAAATAACAAAAAAAACTACGACGTTTCGATCGCAACGCACGTGGTCATCACGACGGCCGCTTGCGTTGAGATCAAAACGTCAACCCATCTACGTGACTTTACCAAAAGACCCAAACAATATGAATTCCTGCAGTCACGAAAGCTTTAAGTCAAGACTTGATGAATATATTTCGGCGCTAATCTTGCGAAGAGCTTTCGCGTCGGGATGAGTCCGTGCTGCCGTGCGCCGCCGTGAAGGCGCGCACCCGATTAATTATCACGCGAGCGGTGCGTGGTCCGGCGAGTGGGGGGCGGGAGGTTGGCGTGGATTCACAAGAGCGGGGATTCCATTTGACGACAGCTGACCGGGGTGCGGAGGGCCGCTGACCTCTCGCGCCCTCCACAGACGGCACGCACGGCTAGCACGTCGGTGTTGAGCACTCACAGGGTGTGTGGGGGGGTGTGCGTGGGTGTGTCGGGGGGTGTGTGTGGGGGTGTGTGGGTGGGTGTGTGGGTGGGTGTATGGGGGGGGGGGTGTGTGGGGGGGTTTGGGTGGGTGTGTGGGGGGGGTAGGTGGGGGTGTGTGGGGGGGTGTGGGTGGGTGTGTGGGGGGGGTAGGTGGGGGTAGGTGGGGGTAGGTGGGGGTGTGTGGGGTGGGGGGTGGAGGGGTGTGTGGGTGGGAGGGTAGGTGGGGGTGTGTGGGGGGGGTGGAGGGGTGTGTGGGTGGGGGTAGGTGGGGGTGTGTGGGTGGGGGTAGGTGGGGGTGTGTGGGGGGTCGTTCATCACAGCGGCGGCTGAGCAGGAGCAGCGCGGTTTGTTTGCCGTTGCCACCGCCAGCCGCCGTTGCTGCGGTGGGGCAAGTGAAGTAAATAAATAAATAACTGCCGCTCAGAGAAGGAGAAACGACGACGCGAGCCGAGAGCCGCGCGCAGGTGGCCGCGTGACGACCACGAGCGGCGTCGCGGGCGTCCAGCGGCGTCGGCGGCCGCGGCTTCTGTTTGGCGAGCGCCGGTCCGCACCCCCACCACCACCACCACCATTACCCCCACCACCCCCACCACCACCACTACCACCACCACCACTACCCCCACCACCACCACCACCCCCACCACCACCACCACCATTACCCTCACCACCCCCACCACCACTACCGCCACCGCTACCCCCACCCCACCTCCACCACCACGACCACCACCACCCCCTCCACCACCACCACGACCACCACCGCCACCCCCCACCACGACCACCACCACTACCACCACCACCCCCACCACCACTACCCCCACCACCACCACCACCACTCCCACCACCACCACTACTCCCACCACCACCACCCACCACCACCACCCACCACCACCCACCACCCCCACCACCACCACTACTCCCACCACCACCACCACTACCCCCACTACCACCACCACCCCCACCACCACGACCAGCCCCACCACCACCAGGACCACCACCACTACCCCCACCACCACCACTACTCCCACCACCACCACTACCCCCACCACCACCACCACCCCACCACTACCACCACCCCCTCCCCCCCGGGTAGCAATACGACGAGCTAGTCTTGCCGTCGCTATTCCACTCGAGCGGCAAAACATCCTCACTCAGACAGAGACATCCTCACTCAGAGACATCCTCACTTAGAGACATCCTGCTCCGTGATCGATATAGCGACGTGCTTCGCCCTCGCTCGTCAACCCCTAGCGAGCCCCCCCCCTCCCCCCCGTTTGGTCGATCCACTGCTGGATGAGGGCCTCCCCACGCCGTTGCAGGCCGTCGGGGGGGGTAGGGGGGGGTATTTGAAGGCCGTCGGGGGGGTAGGGGGGGGTATTTGAAGGCGCTTCAGCCACGCTGGGGTCGCAGTGCGGCTCGGAAAATATTCACACAACCCAAAACTAAAAGTGAGAAATCGCGACTGATAAACTGTGGTCATGGGAGGTCGTCAACGTGAAGAGTCCCACACCAATGCACGTCATCATGCTATGGTTATTTATGAAAAATGAAGCATTATAATAATCATAATAAAAATGAATAATTTCTCAGTGAGATTATGCAGACTGCACATTAACGTGAGACTGGACACAATGCCTACCAGCGGAGCTTCATAGTTGTGTTCGACTTATGTACAGTACATGAAATCCGCTGCTGGATGAGCATCTCCCCACTCCACTTCACTGAACAGCTCACCATACTGGTCACGATCGCCGGCTACAATTGCCCTAAAACTGTCCTCACCAAACTAAACAATTGTATTGACCGGGGTAAAGGCCCAGAAGCTTCTCGTATTCTCTGCCACGTCATCATCATCATTGTGGGCCATGGTCGTTCCACTGCTGGATGGATGACCTCACGCTTAATCAGTTCGCCGATCGCGCCGTCGTTTGCGGTCTCGGGGTCCTCACCTGCCGGGCCGCCACCACCACCTCGTAGAGCAGCGCCGTGGCAGCCTCCGTGTAAGCCGCCACGAGTCTCCGCTCCTGCTCGCCACGGTGGACACACCTCGTCACGCGGCCCGGTGTGTGTGTGTGTGCGTGTGTGAAGGTGCTCGCTAACAGCACTTGCCCCTACAGTCTGTTAAGGCTATATGGGGGATCTTTATCTTTGATCTTTGTGTGTGTGCGTGTGTGTGTGCGTGTGTGTATGTGCGTGTGTATGTGTGTGCGTGTGTGTATGTGCGTGTGTGTGTGCGTGTGTGTGAGTGTGCGCGTGTGTGCGTGTGCGTGTGTGCGCGTGTGTGTGCGCGTGTGTGCGTGTGTGTGTGCGTGCGTGTGTGCATGTGTGTGCGTGTGTGCGTGCATGTGTGCGTGTGCGTGTGTGTGCGCGTGTGTGTGTGTGTGTGCGCGTGTGTGTGCGTGTGTGCACGTGTGTGTGTGCGTGTGTGTGTGTGCGTGTGTGTGTGTGCGCGTGTGTGCGTGTGTGTGTGCGTGTGCGCGTGTGTGTATGCGTGTGTGCGTGTGTGCGCGTGTGCGTGTGTGTGCGCGTGTGTGCGCGTGTGTGCGTGTGCGCGTGTGCGTGTGTGTGCGCATGTGCGTGTGTGTGCGTGTGCGCGTGTGCGTGCGTGTGTGTGTGTGCGTGTGTGTGCGCGTGTGTGTGTGTGTGCGTGTGTGTGTGCGTGTGTGCACGTGTGTGTGTGCGTGTGTGCGTGTGTGTGTGCGCGTGTGTGTGTGTGCGTATGTGTGTGCGTGTGCGCGTGTGTGTATGCGTGTGTGAGTGTGCGTGTGTGCGTGTGTGCGCGTGTGCGTGTGTGTGTGCGCATGTGCGTGTGTGTGTGTGTGCGTGTGCGCGTGTGCGCGTGTGCGCGTCTGTGTGTGCGTGCGCGTGTGCGTGTGCGCGTGTGCGAGCGTGTGTGTGCGTGTGCGCGTGTGTGTGTGCGTGTTCTTGGCACGGTAGGAGGCACAGGTGGTGGTGCATCGACCAACAGTCATCTCGGTCAGTCGACCCCTGGCACCTGCTGGGTCTGACCCGTGACCTCCTGCCGGCGGGCGTTCGTCACTTCACGTGGCCTTAAGGTGCACCTAGCCTGGCACAAACGCCGTGGTGACGTCCCTGCCACTTAGTGGCGAATGGCGGTTCTTGTTATCGGTGGTGGAGTGGTGAGCGCGCCGCGCCATGATCCCGCTCACAGCCACCAACACCAGTGACGATTATCTGAACCGGTCCTGGGCCTCCCCTAGGTCGACTCAGCCTCAAATTAGTACCTGGTGCGGTGTGTAGTAAACATCTCCACTGGGGAGACAAACGCGGCCGGACGTGGTGCTGGCCACCCACCCCTCGTCTACCGTTCCGGCCTTCATAGGTGCTCGCTAACAGCACCTGACCAAACATTGTTAAAAGCTACGTATATGGGGACATTTTTTTCTTTGTTCTTGCATGCACTGTGCAGTGTGCAATGCGTGCAATGGCAATGGCTCGCCATCACGCAAGCTTCAGCGGTGACTTTTCTGCTCAAACGAGCATTTGCGACGCTGGGTGCTGACCTCGTGTTCACATCTCTGAGCCAGCGGTGTCAGCTCAACGGCGGAGGCGAGCTCACCCGTAGGGCAGCCGCCGTTGACTTTCTCAGCAGTGGCTACCGATTGTTATCGACGCCCCGGTGAGCGGTCGGCTGAGACACCCCCCCCCCTCCCTCCCCAGGATTAGAGCTCTCAGCCTCGCGACTGCGAGTCGCTGCACCCAGCAGTGGATAGACCACGGCCGGTGGTGGGCTGAGGTCAAGTTAACGCAGCGTGCCAGATGACGGAGCGGAGAGGGCGTGGGCGGCGCGACCGCGGCTCTCACTTGAAGGCAGCGCGGCGGCGGCGTCGACGGCGAGGGTAGCCGCGGCCCTTCTCCATCCGTCGGGGTCAACGGGGTCGTGAGGTCAGAGGTCAGCACCGCCAGCAGATCCGACAGCGCCTGGCCGCTGCACGGGGCGGCACGGAGCTCTCGTGAACAACACGGCCGCCCCGGAAAATCGGAGCCGGCCTCGCGCTCGGGGTGGGGGTGGGGGGGGAGTAGCGGCGTGCGGTGTAACAACAATTGGACGGATACGGTTTGGGTACGTGTGTGCGTGTCTAAGTGTAAGTGTTTACGCGGGGGGGGGGGAGGGGAGCGGTTGTGCGGGGGTTAGCTTCGACTCTGCCGCGAACCCTGCGAAGCCGTGTTCGACTCCCGTCCGCAGCTATCGTCAGCGGCGAGCGGCAGTGCACGCGAGTGCGCCGAACTTCTTTCGCGCCGCACGTGGCCAACCGTGCTCGTCGGTTTGGGGCTTCCCCAAGGTCGACTCGAGCGCGGGCGAGCAGCCGGTACGCACGCGTGAACAGCAGCGTTGCGGAGACACACGCGGCCGGCTGTGGTGCTGGCCACCCACACCCCTCCTCCCCATGTGCTCCTCCCCTTGTGCACCTTCGTCAGGTGCTGCTACTCACGAACAGCACTTGCCCCAACAGCCTGTTCAGGTTACACGGCGGCGGCGGGGGGGGGGGGTGGGGATCTTTGTGCCGTGTGTTTGTGCGTCAGTGCTGGGCTGGTGGTGGTGAGGGCGGGGGTAGTGGGGAGGTAGTGGAGGGGTGTGGGGGGTAGTGGGGAGGTAGTGGGGGGTATTGGGGGGTAGTGGGGGTAGGGGGGTAGTAGGGGAGATAGTGGAGGGTAGTGGGGGGTAGGGGGGGTAGTGGGGGGTAGTTGGGGGTCACCCGTCGGCGAGCAGGGTGGATGTGCGCCAGGGCACCGTCTCTGTCTCCCTGAACATGGCGGCGAGCGTCTTGAGCACCACGACGCTGAGACTGCGCGGGAGAAGACCACGCGATGAGCGTCGCACGCTCGACGCTGCCAGAGGCGCCAAAAGAGACAAACTCCAATGGCAGGACTTCCCGTGCAGCCCAAGCCTGTGTGTGTATGTATGTATGTGTGACGAACTTCTTTCGCACCGTACGTAGCCAATCGTGCTAATCGGAGGTGCGGGGGATAGAGAAAAAACTGAACGCAAAGAGCAGTTCTCATGAAATTAGTTTGCCAATCTAGATGATGATTTAAACGTGCACAGCTCCAGTGGCTTGCTAATATCGGACGGAAGAGCATTCCAGACGGCCACAGAAGCGCATCTGAAAGTACGCGATGCAGTTGTCGATGGCTAGCCGAAAAAAACAAACCGATACAACATTTTCTCAGCCGTGAGTCGGGAAGCGTGTACGATGCACGTGTGGTCCCACGCGCGGGTCACACACGTGGGGTCACGTGGGGTCATGCTCGCGGGGTCACGCGGCGATTGTGGTGAACGCGAGGCACCTGATGTGGTCGGCGCGGTAAGCGCAGGGCGAGGAGCGAGCGGCGATCACGAGACGCTGCACGGTGGACGCCAGGAAGGGGAAGAGGCTCTCAGACTGCGCGGCACGCGCAACACCACGTGCGGGAAAACACGTGAGCAACACGTAGCGAACACACAACCGACACGTAACGAACACACAACGGACAGCATGAGCAATGCAGCCACTAGACGTAACCAGCGCGTGGCAATGACAGGATCGGCAGGAGCTGGGTTATGCAATTATGTAAGTAATCGGTTACTCTACCGATTATCGGTTTGATTACTGGACTAGAGACAGACTAGGACTAAATAGCGGCCCAGGTTTATGTAAATACACCGGGCCAAATTCGGGCTATGGACTAAATGGCTAGATTTGCGATGTGACGGCGTGCTCGGGTGATATTTGCCGCGCGGTCTCATTGGCCCATTTGGGCTGGGTCCAAAAAAATAAATGGGACGGTGAGGAAGAATGTTTGGGTGTTCCGAGCATGGGGACTTAATGCCAACTGAGAGCGGAAAGAAGCAATGAAGCGTGCACGGCGGAGGTAATAAAATATTAGAACAACAAAAAATTACTCTGATGACATTGGCAATTGCCCCACGCCGACCGGCCCACCGGGGCATTTGCCCCCATGGACTGCTGCAGCCCAACGGCCCGTCCAGGCCTGCCCGTGGGCCTCCAACCCCTCCCACCCGGGCGGTGCCGCACCCTCCAGAAGAGCGCCTTGACGGTGAAGCAGCGGTGAGCGCCGAGGCACAGGGCCCGCAGGCTGGCGGCCGTCTCCTCCGGGGACGCCTCCTCGTGCCGCAGCGCCGCGGAGAGCCGCCCGAACAGCACGCGTGCCTCCTCGGCGCTGCCCCACAGACAACGCAGAGGAACCTCGCTCGGCCTCGCAGCGGAAGGATTCCACCCCCCCCCCCCCCCCCCCGCACCTGTACTGTGAATCAGGCGACCGCAAGGGATGGCGGGATGTTATCTCCCTCGCCTGGTATGCCAGGAGGTCGTGGGTTCGATTCTGACCCCGACGTCTGCTGTATCTTTGGAGTTTGCGTTGTCTTTCTCGCCGTGGTCGCGTGGATTTTTCTCCGGTTTTTCCCCTCCGAATTTTTTAAATCAACACACGTTTATAGCATTTGGCTGCTACAAATGTCCACGTGATGACAAGCCACTTCGTTGAGCTATTTTGTGGCTAGGTCGTTTCTGGAAAAGAGCTACGTGGCTCAGTGGGCCTTACCTGGTAAAATACACAATTGTTTAGTTTTAGATTACTGTGCATCACTAATTGTATTCACAAGGTAAAAACCGCTGAGCTATGAGCTTTTTCAGAGGCAACCTGACCCCACAAGTGATGATAGCTCATCGAAGTGGCTTATAGCAGCAGCAGCATCGTCGTCATAGGTGAGAGTTCAAACTCACAGCCGTATAATCTAAAGGTGTGTTTTTTTTTCTTCACGTGGAGGGGCAAAACCACGGGTGAGAGAGAACACGCGGACTCCAAATATACAACGGGAGTCGTCAGGGATCGTGCGTCGCGTTGACCGAGCGCAAGAGAGAGAGACATACCTCCTGCACGTGCTTTGCTCAAGCAGCCGAGCTGAGCATTTGACATCGAACTCGGGTTTGAACTGCAGAGTTGCTCTCTGCGAAATGAAAACGAGGGGAGGGAGAAAAAAAACCCCGACAAAACGTGATAGAATGTGAACCACAGGAAAAAACACACACCCCCCTCCCCCCCCCAAACTACGTGAAAATATCCACGCACGTCACAGACAGACATTGCGGTGGTGACATTCATCCTCCAGGCAAGACCGCAGGACTAAGCCAAGGGAACGCGCCCGGAGATGGAGCGACAGAATCTTCTGCCGTGCAGGAATCCAGATGGATCGTTGAAATGGCAAGAGCGTGAGAGAAGGCGATGGCTTTGGGGAGGCCTTCATCCAGCAGTGGATACGACATGGCTAACATTAAGGGACGACTGTCCTTGAGCAACACAAACGTACGTGTGCAGCGAATTAGTCCATTTGTGTCGCAGTTGTATTAGGGGCCGTCCATTAATGACGTCACGCGAATTTGGACGATTTTTGACCCCCCCCCCTCGTCACACGGCGTCACAAAAAGTCAGACCCCCCCCCTCTAATATGACGTCACAAAGCTCTGCCGCCCCCCCCCAAAACAAATAAAACATGCTTCAAATCGCTTTAAACTATTGTCATTGTAGTGCGTATTTAATGTGGCGCTGCACTCTGATGTTGTAGGCAAAAACATGTATTAAAAAGTCTATTTAATTAAGTAGAACGTGTTGTCTATACTTATTTAAAGTTGCGCATTTTGTTGTGACGTCACATTTCTCAACCCCCTCCCTCCCTCGTCACACATCGTCACAAATGTCTGACCCCCCCCACCCCCCCAGGTGCGTGACGTCATTTATGGACGGCCCCTTACGTTGCACAGCGCGTACACGAGGCAGCGGTGGCACATTCGTTTGCTCACTGTGCCGTGAACCCAGTGATCTGAGTTTGACCACTGGCCACGGCCAACATGGTCGGTATAAGAGTTGATGTCCGACGGTTGCTCACCCCCCCCCCCCACGCCGTGACCACCGATGGCGCAGGGGAGGCCTCCATTCGGCAGCGGACCGGCAAAGAGGAGGGGTGGGTGGGGGAGGTAAATTTGGTAAAACTGTTGCAGGGACCGCACTCTTGGCTGTGGCGTCGGTGGCACGTTCACGCGCTCGGCTCGCAGCGCTCGGCCGCCTCTTGCGAGAGGGGCGGGGGAGACGTCGGAGCTTCGTGCCGGACAAGGAACGCGCAGGCACAATCCGCGGACACATCGGAGAGTGACGCAACCGTGAACCGACGCTGCGCCCGTAGCTCAATGCCCTCTCTGGCTCCAGCGACGGATTTACAGGTTTTAGGGTGCCCTGCTTGGCAACGGCGGTTTTATGTCGGATACAACAGGCGACGGGAGTGTGTTTGTGTTTGGGGCTTGATAAATATCGTTGCGCCACGCCGAAGACTTTATGGTGAGACGGAAACATTGCCCACGGAGAGAGACGGAGAGGGGCACGGGGAGATGGAGCAAGAGACGACGTCGACACGGGCGGAACGGAGACGGTGTTGGGAGAAGTTGTCGATTTTTGTCCCGATTGCCCAAGTCACCCATGGCATTGGGACATGCGATCCTTGTCCGGCTATGTATGGGTGCAATATCAGCACTCAAATCCGTGTCGGGTTTCTATAACTGCGAATGGCACGGTTGGCTCCGTACGGCGCGAATGAAGTTCAACATATATACACTACGCTATACACTATACACTACACTATACACTACACTATACACTACACACATTACTATACTATACACTCACTACACACACTACGCACACTACACTATACACTACACTATACACTACACTATACACTACACTATACACTCACTACAATACTCTACACACATTACTATACTATACACTTACTACGCACACTACGCTATACACGACACTATACACTCACTACTATACACTACACACATTACAATACTATACACTCACTACACACATTACCCTATACACTACGCTATACACTCACTACAATACACTACACACATTACTATACTATACACACACTACACACACTACGTACACTACGCTATACACTACACTATACACTCACTACAATACACTACACACATTACTATACTATACACTCACTACACACATTACGATATACACTACACTATACACTACACTATACACTCACTACAATACACTACACACATTACGCTATACACTACACTATACTCTACACACTACACTATACACTCACTACAATACACTACACACATTACGCTATACACTACACTATACACTACACACTACACTATACACTCACTACAATACACTACACACATTACGCTATACACTACACTATACACTACACACTACACTATACACTCACTACAATACACTACACACATTACGCTATACACTACACACTACACTATACACTCACTACAATACACTACACACATTACGCTATACACTACACACTATACTATACACTCACTACAATACACTACACACATTACGCTATACACTACACTATACACTACACTATACACTCACTACAATACACTACACACATTACGCTATACACTACACTATACACGACACTACTAGACACTACACTACTATACACTTCACTATAGTTTAACACGTAGGCTGTCGCGACCAATATCATCCACAATACAGGTGTTTTGGGTTAGATCGCGCACATATATAAATGTGTCGTTAACCCCGCCACCACATGACACAGCCAATTAGTAAGGTTTGTCACGTAAACAGAAGTCGTTACTAGTACAGCACGCCGGTGTGTTGGAGAGCCAAGCAACAGATTGTACATGTTGAGTTTACTTTGTTGTCTTTACCCCACACTCCGATTAGCACGGTTGGCTACGCACGGTGCGAAAGAAGTTCAACACACACGCATATTTATAAAACACACACACATATATAACACACACATATAACACACACACACACGTAACTATATTTCACGATGAAGAGATTTAAAGGTAATGTGTCTGAGCCAACGTTCGTTACAGGAAATGTATTTACAATGTGATTATATTGATTTATGGTTGTGCAATATGTTCATTCTCTCCTTTAATGCAGTTGTTGTTTTTTTACTCTGATTTATCTCTAATTCGTGACTGCCAAATATTAAATTTTGTAATTTTCGTTATTTACAGGTCACTCTTTCAAATGAAAGATCATCCCGGTCAGCTGAAAGCCCTCTCTGACCCCGCAAGCTCGCCAGCAGGATTGAGCCTGGTTCATAGATGTAATGACAGGGGAGTCAACCTACGGCGTGAGTGGACTAGTGGCCATGGGAGGTAATGACAGGGGAGTCAGCCTGCAGTGCGAAGGGACTAGTGGCCACGGGAGGTAATGACAGGGGAGTCAGCCTGCAGTGCGAAGGGACTGGTGGCTACGGGAATGGTCGAGAATAGGAGCGTGGCCAGGTGACGGAATAGGACGGTGGAGTCTGCTGGTGGAGCGAGCGGTCTAGAACCAGCGAGAAGGTTCGGGATTTGGGGCGTGGCCTCGGACCTTATATAATGGAGATGCACGGGAGACTCGGGGCTGTTGCAGTGGGGGTCTCTGCCTGTCCGAGCGTGAGCACGTGGCTCAAGACAAGTGCGTCGAAGTCTTCTTTACACGTGCATCGGATATTCATTGAGGACACCATTGAGTGTCGTAGGCTCGGGCTGTGAGGTGGCTAGAAAATGGCAGTGCAGTCATGAATTGAATCTATCTGTGTGGAGCGTAGTGTTGCCCGTCGTACTCGTGATGGGTTTTAAACTCAACTTAACTTTTATTTCACCAGGTGAGGCCCACTGAGCTATATATAGCTCGTTTTCAGAAACGACCTGGCCACAGATGATAGCTCAACAAAGAAGTGTCTTATCACGTGGAAATGTATAGCGGGCAAATAAACGCGTGTTTCTTAATGTGGAGGTAAAAAAAAATAACGGAGGACCCGGAGAAAAATCCACGCGACTGCGGGGAGAACAAGCAAACTCCAAATACACAGGCGTCAGTGTCGGGATCAAACCCACGACCTCCTGCATACCTGGAGAGAGATAACATCTCGCCACCTTGTCTCCCCTCTCCCGCTTCTCCAGTTTCCCCTCGCACGAAGCCAAATACTAAATTCATGGTAATTGGTCAAAAAATCCTCCAGTGGCAAAAGAGATCCACCTGGAAACGAGTTCCTGAGACTCGGTGCAACTTTCCTGGATAACAAAAAAGTACAGTACATTATGATGATAATCATGATGATGATAAATTGCAGACCTTGGCACTTGCCACTTTCGTCACTGTGGCCCAGATCCCGGAGCCAGTCCTATCCTGTCTGTGGTGGCCTCACCCTGGCCACACACACAGAGCCCAGTATTTGACTATTATCTATCCCCTAGCAACGGCTGTGAGAAGGCCAGGCTAATAAAAAAAGGAGGGACAATCAGCATTCAGTCTTTTCAAATGCACGCACGTGTTGTGTCTTTTGTGATAGACGCCCCGTGATGAGACAGTTGTGGAGAGAGTGGAGAAGTGCCGATACTTGGGCATTGTGCTTATTAACCAGCTCCGGTTTGGCAGCCGAGGTCTCACTCCGTATCGGTCGAGCGGCATTATCATTGTGATCAGCTGCGTAACGCTGTGGTGTGGAGCGACCAGGCCTGCCGCTCCATACGAAGCTCCGCAATCGGAAGGTCACCAGTTCAAACCCCGGTCTGTGGGCGACTCAGTCCATCATCCCTCCACGGTCAATAAAATAAGTGGCGTTATGTTGTGGAGTAAATAGTGGTCATCCTGTGGAAAGACTTGTCCCTACCATAGGAATGTGGAATATCCACAACTGGCTCAGGAGATGAGGACAGCCCCATGCTTACACGAGACTGAGTAAAATGCACCATTCTTAACCTCAGGCTCTGGGCCCAGTGAAACACATTCACCAACTGATGTTTTTTTTAATTATTCCGTTCACAGGGGAAATTTCCATGGCTGAGACATCCATTGTTTGGGCGTAGAAAAGGGACAGACTTTTAACCGCGATAAAAAAAAAAACACAACCACGTGGGACAACGTCGGCGTCACTGCGCCGGCAATGTCCGAGGAGGCGACCACTCACGATCAGGAAGTTGTCCAGCGTGCTCTTGAGGTGCAGCACGAAAGGGGACGACGATGACACGATGTAGACGTGCAGCTCCACCGTATCGGCCGGCGATCCGCCGCCCTCCTCGCCTTCCTCGCCGCCGCTGCCGCCGCCGCCGCCGCCGTCCTTCCGGCCCCGCGGCTCTCGAACTTTGACGCCGCACCTCAGAGTGGAGGCCACCGGCGAGCCGTCGCCGCGGTGCCGCGAGTCCCGAGAGGAGTCCAAAGACTCCCGCGCCGCTGCCTGCGCCGGGGAGCGCCCGCTGGGAGAGCGAGCGCGGGCGGTCGGAGGGTCGAGCGTCGGCCGAGCGGTGGCGCAACCCCAAGCGGCCGTCCCCGCCGAGGGCACGCAGGAGTCCGGCAGCTTTGGTAGCGGACGGAAGCCGGGAGCTGCGGCTGGACTCGGAGTCTTGAGGTTGCCGTTGGCGTGGGCCGGTGAGACGGGCGGTGGAGTCCGGCTGGGGTCTGGCGAGCGGCGGCCTTCGTCGCCGCTCGCTCCGGCTGTCGTCTGCGCTGGCCGGCGCCTGGGAAGGCGCGGTGACAGCGAATAAATAAAACAAAGCGGGAACGTTAAAGCAACCACCGACAACAATGCACGGCGCTGAAGCATGACTTTAAAGACGAAACAAAAACATCGTAGGCCTACAGGGAGCCGTCGCAGTGACCAGAGAAAGGAAAGCGTGGGAAAAGTTCGTTCAGCCTCAACGTTGGCCGCCTTACATTTTGATTTAAAGCTTTCGCGACTGCAGTAATTCATATTCTTAGCTCTTTCGGTAAAGTCACGTTGAAGGGAAACAATAAAATAATAAAATATATATAACAATAAAAATTCTCACGACGTTTCGACCATAACACAAACGGTCATCATCAGGTGTGAAAATCAACGGCAAGAAACATTTGAAAGAAGTGGCTGTTAGCATTTATTTATTTTTAAACGGTGTGCAGGAGGTCGTGGGTTCGATCCCGACCCTGACGCCTGCTGCTGTATATTTGTGTTTATGGATTTTTTTTCAATGTTCTCCCCGTGGTCGCGTGGATTTTTTCCTACCAAAGTCCTCGGGTTTTTCTCTCCACACTTAGAAACAACGCACGTGTCGAGTATCTGGCCGTTGTAAATTTCCGCAAAACAATAAGCCACTTCGTTGAGCTATCGTTTGCGGTGGCGAGGTCGCTTCTGAAAGAGAGCCGCACAGCTCAATGGGCCTGTACCTGGCAAAAATGAAACAGAGTTTAGTTTTAGCTTACGATGGACAGCAGACGAGAGTAGCGGAGAGGACCGAAGAGAGAAGAAGAAGAAGACAGAGAGGCGGTGAAAGCTCCGTCGAGTGCCCACCGGCTGCGGTGCCGCCGTGGCCCGGCGGGTTCGCCGGTGTCGGCGCGACGGTGCGTGACGACGATGTGCTGCGCGTTCTCGCGGTCGGCGCCGCTCAGGAACTCGGGAAAATCATTCACCTGCCGTGGAGGGGGCAACGCGGGCACACGGAGGGGGGGGGGGACGAGGGATTTCCTTCTCTCACGCGTCCGGTCGCACGCACGCACGCACCCGGCAATCGGTGTCGCAGCTAGGGGTATGGCACCTATGAAAACGAAACTTTGAACATTTTTTTATATTTACCAGGTAAGGCCCACTGAGCTGTATAGCTCTTTTTGAGAAGCGTCGTGGCCACAAATGATAGCTCAATGGATTAGCTTATCATTGGGAAAACGATAGCATGCAGCCCAATACTCTAAATGCGTGTTGATTCTAAACGTGGAGGGAAAACCAGGAGGACCAGAAGAAAAATGCACACACAACCACGGGGAGAGAGACATGCAAACTCCAAATATACAGGCGTGAGGGTCGGTATCAAAACCACGACCTCCTGTGTACCAGGCGAGGTAGTTAACATCTCGCCACCGCGGCTAAAACACACATTCGTGGACGAACACATCGTGGGAAGAAGAATATCTCCCAATCCGAGGAAAGGAAGGCCAGCTACACAAGCGTGTTGTCTCGCGTGGCGTGTTATTTTATGCAAGTGACACTAAAAAAATAAACTGGAATTTTAACGGTTCCAGGAAGACGCTCCAGACATTCCACAAGAGTTACATCAAACAGATGACGATGTTGAGAAAACCAGAACGGGTGGTAACCGTAGTCTCCCAGAGCGCGCAAAACTCAACTTTGTTGTCTCCCGCGGCGACACCAAAGATTGATGCGTTAATGCGACTTTCACACGATCGTTGGGAAGTGCGCCGACCAAGTTATCGGAGCGGCTAGAGTGGGGACCGGCTCAGATTTCCGTGGCAAACTCTCAGCAGGGCCGAGCCAGCACCGGCCGAGCCGTATCAGCGCGATTTCACTTTCCAAAGGGCGCTCTCAGCCCGGTTGTCCATCTTTGGCTGAGCCCTCCAGAAAACCCAAAAACAAAAAAAACGACTCTTGAGATTCACTCAAGAAAGTTTTGAGACTGCGAGTGATACTAAACCTGATTTAATAAATAAACGAACTGCTGGGAGACATAGAGATGCCAAGTTGATGTTGTTGTTGATGTTGTTGTCAGTCTGTAACGCACTAACGCTGGTTAGCAGCCATGTGCCTCCATTCATCTCCTTGGTTGTTCTTGTCCAGCAGAAGCCTCTGAATTATTTCAGAAGGTGAATCAGGATGTGCATCTATACTGGAGGAATCTGATGAGCTATAAAGCTGTTTTTTTGCGGGTCAGAACCTCCGATTAGCACGGTTGGCTACGTACGGCGTGAAAGAGTTCAACATACATACACAGAACGTTACAACAAAAAACACGTTAGCAGTGCAAAGGAAAGGTAAAAATGATACGCAAATAAAACTAAATCATTGTTTTTATCTTAGCAGGTAAACCGCACTGAGGTATTAACTTGTTTTTTTTCAGAAGCCACCTGGCCACAAATGACAGCTCAACAAAGTGGCCTAATCGCGTGGAAATTCATCGCAGCAAAAATAATCTCAACGATTTAAATTATTCGATTCCTGGCGCCATGGGCTTCCTGCTGTCTTCTCTCTGGGCACAGCAGACCCGCAGTTTTAAATTCTCCACGACCCAGACGGCCAAGGCACGGCGTGCAAGAACACGGGGTCCAACGTCTGTCCCCCACACTACCGCTGTTTACTTAGTGGCTGTCGCTGGCCAGGTAGAGAGAGAGTGAGAGAGACCGGCGCACACCACCGCAGTGTCCTCGCGTACACGGCCCTCATCGTCCGTCCGGTGTGATCGTCCCAATATTTATCTTTAGCGATGCCAGCAGCCGCAGGGCGAGTGTGTTCGGCATTCAAGCCTCAAGAATAACTCCGCGTGTGGGAAAACAAAGGCACTACCCCCTCCTCCCTATCACTCAATGACACTCTTCTCTATCGACACGGATGTCAGTGGCTGATGTCACACACAGGATCAAGCTTGGTTTCTAATGAGAGTTGAGCACTGTATAATAATAATATCCGTCCATGGTCCTGAATCAGCTGGCTAATCGTGATTGACTGACGTACGGCTGCCAAGAGGCATCATCACGCAACCACGGCGCTTCTTGGAGCGGCAGCTACCGGCGCTGTAGCTACCTGGGAACCCGAACTCGATCCCCGCTAACGACCAACAGCAAGTGGCGACAATCTTCAGAGGTCCTAGGCACTGCCTTAGGTCTACTCAGCTTTAAACGAGTACCCTGGGGAGACAAAAGCGGCCGGGTTATGTATAGTTACGGCCTTCACACACAACTTGCCCCAAACGTCTGTTTAAACACTACACAGGGGGTTCTTTATCAGCCACACCGCCTGCACACCACTCGACGGCTACGCCACGGTTCGCCTGCTTTCTACAAACACCCCCTCCCCTGTACCAGCCCCTTTTCTCTAAGGCCATACACTTACAGTGGACCCACCAAACTGCAGCTGGGACCATTCATTCACCAGCTGCAATGTGGACTAACCCACCAAACTGCAGCAGGGACCATTCATTCACCAGCTGCAACGTGGACTAACCCACCAAACTGCAGCTGGGACCATTCAATCACCAGCTGCAACGTGGACTAACCCACCAAACTGCAGCAGGGACCATTCATTCACCAGCTGCAACGTGGACTAAACCACCAAACTGCAGCAGGGACCATTCATTCACCAGCTGCAACGTGGACTAACCCACCAAACTGCAGCAGGGACCATTCATTCACCAGCTACAACGTGGACTAAACCACCAAACTGCAGCAGGGACCATTCATTCACCAGCTACGTGGACTAAACCACCAAACTGCAGCAAGGACCATTCATTCACCAGCTACAACGTGGACTAACCCACCAAACTGCAGCAGGGACCATTCATTCACCAGCTGCAACGTGGACTAACCCACCCAAGCCGCAGACATCGACCACACAACCCACCAGGCGCACGTGGGTCACGTCCCTGAGCTCCACCAGCTGCCCTAGCGAGCGCGGGGGGTTGTCCATGACGAGCAGGGCGCTGTCGGTGAGCACCACGAAGCGGTAGCGCCGCCCCACCACGCACGGCTCGTAGGCGCGCACCCTCTCACAGTGGCCCCAGCGCAGCGAGCGCTCCAGGAAGCTCTCCAGCTTGCTGTTGCGCCGGCAGGTCGAGGCGGCAGATGGGCTGCCCCATGACGCCCACGCGGCCATACGATGAGTGGAGTGGGGTGGGTGGGACCCGGGTAAACCGTGACTTCCAAAGCAGCGCGCTAATCACGAGAGAACTATGATGACGACGATCATCATCATGATGACGAACTCAAACTCACAGCTAACTGATAATGAGATCTACAATAATGCGGATGATGATACGAGGCTAGGAGCTCAGTGGTGATGATTACGATTTGATAACTCGGACGATGATATGGCGGTACGATGATAATGGCGATGATGAAATCAGAGCAGCTAAAAAAAAATAATGATACCGAAGGTGGTGATGAAAATTCAGAGGCGCAACTTCGCTGCGTGGACAAAGGTAACTTCGAGATGGAATTGCGGGACGCTTTGTGTCTTCCTGCAGCGGGACGTTGCAGGGCTGACAGCAGCAGCAGCGACGACGGTGATGATCGCGATGTTGTGATGGTGCGCGCATCGAACCGCGCGAGTCCTCATTTTCTCTCCCCACTGGTGGAAAGTTCAATGGTGAAGACGACGACCACTAACACGATGATGATGGTGGTGGCGGTGGTGTTGGGTCGCGATGACGTGACGACGTAGGCGGCGTGATGGACCGGGTGTAAGTGACAATAAGTTCACTCCCGCAACAGGCTGAGACGGGAACGAGGCGTCGGCGTGCGCGAGGCATGACCCACACGTGGCTTCATCATCATCATAATCCCGTCGGCTGGGCTCGGCGCAGAGGAGGGGGTAGTGGAGTGAATGGGGGCGGGTGGGGTGGGCGAGGGACACGACCCACGGTTTCTAAATACGATTTCAGACGCCCCCCCTACACCTTTTTATGTTCAATACGCGGGGCCTCTCGCTCTCCACCCACCCACTCTGCACTCCCCCGCGGTTGAGTGCGTGATTCTGCGCAGCAGGCGACGGACGTCAAACAGCTGGCGACGTGCGCGTGACGACGGAGCTTGCCGTCCGCACCTCGCACCTCCTCAAATCAGCGCGGTTGGCTACGTACGCTGCCGATTAAGTTCAACGTACACACACACACGTACACACACGTACGTACACACACACACGTACACACACAGACGTACGTACACACACAAAAGACAAAGATCCCCCATATAGCCTTAACAGACTGTAGGGGCAAGTGCTGTTAGCGAGCACCTATGAAGGCCGGAACGGTACACGAGGGGGTGGGTGGCCAGCACCACGCCCGACCGCCTTTGTCTCCCTAGTGGCAATGTTTACACACCGCACCAGGTACTCATTTGAGGCTGAGTCGACCTAGGGTAGGCCCGGGACCGGTTCAGATAATCGTCACTGGTGTTGGCCGTGAGCGGGAATCGAACCCGGGTCGCCAGGTTCATAGCGCAGCGCGCTAACCGCTACACACACACGTACGTACACACACGTACGTACACACACAGACGTACGTACACACACGTACGTACACACACGTACGTACACACACACAGACGTACGTACACACACACGTGCACACACACAGACGTACGCACACACAGACGTACGTACACACACACGTACACACGCACGTACGTACACACACACGTACACACAGACGTACGTACACACACACGTACACACACACAGACGTACGTACACACACACACAGACGTACGTACACACACACGTACACACACACAGACGTACGTACACACACGCACGGTGCGTACGTCGCTCGCACCCCTCCGGCGGCGTCCCCGGGGTTCGGACCCACCAAGTTGACGTCCCCTGCGCGGTGCAGCGCACCGAGTACACGAGACAGAGAGAGTGCAGGCGAGAGGAGGAGGCCATCGCAACCCGACAGTTCGCCAAAACTCCCAAATCTTCGGCAGGGTTTCCACCGTCGCCGATCCCTGCGCTCTTCAGAACGTACGCGGCGACGCGCTGCACGAGCCGGATGATTGGCACGCACGCGGGCGCCCGTGACGATTTTCGGCGAGACCGCTCGACTCAAATCTCGAGTTGAAGTTTTCGCAGCAGACAGCTGTCCCATTTTCACCTGAAGACGACGACCACGAACACGAAGTTGCGTTCGAAACGTCGTGATGCATTTCATTTCCACCTACGTGACTTTACCGAAATAACCAAAGAGTGTGGCTCGACCCGCAGGACGGCACGCGGGAGGCTTGGGACGCGCCGCGCCTCTCCGATGCGTGCCACCGAGATGGAGGAAGGGGGGCTTTGTGACGTCACCATCTTTAATGCAGTAGAGGACGGCAGAGCTTGGAGGCGATTGTCGGCGCGCGGGTCTTACCGACCCTGGCTCACCGTGCGTCCGTGGCTCACGGTGCAGCCTCCCGAGTCGTTTCTCTCGTCGTGAGCGAGCGAGCGCTGTGCCGGAACCTTGCGAGTTAAACCTCGTTACTGGCGTCCGCATTGCTCCGGCCGTGGCTGTTTAGACGTTTGGGGTTTGCGACCTTCGCGAGGTAGAAGCTGGAGGCGGTCACCAATGTTAAAACAAAGTTGGCGGGGAGGGGGGGGGAGTTCATAGCGAAGCGACCACAACAACGCGGCCGTCCACAAGTTCCAGTCGACGGCCTGGTGACCAGGTGCTGCCGTGTTCACGAGGAAACAGCGTGCACAGGACCACGTGGTTAATGGTCACTCGTTAGCAGCCTGGACGGGAAAATGGATTCCACTTACACGGTGCAGCGTTGCCCTGGTCTGGACCGCCACTCTAAGAGTTTTTTGGATTCGATCGGGTAAATATATAAATGTGTCGTTAAACCTGCCAACACCCGACACAGCCAACTAGTAAGGGTTGTCACATAGATAGAACGTGCCAATTCGTCACTAGTACAGCACACCGGTGTGTTGGTGTGTTGGAGAGCCAAGCCACAACATTTACAATCCGGGTACGGCATTTCGCAAGTAATCACAACCGGCTTCATCAGGCGACAGCCAGATTTGTAGAGAAGTCCACGTGTTTCCCAATGATATTGCTCGCGAAAGTCCACGTGTTAAACTAACCGCTGCTACCCTCACCAGGGCAAGTGGACTGACGAACGAACGCTGGTTGCCCGAAGGAACAACAGTGCACGTGACTAACACACCCACGTGTGAACGCGCCACCGCTCTCGTTCGAGCAATCTGTGCACACGCGCGCGTTTTACGACTTTGTAGCTCACGCCTTGACTTGTCAAATAGCCGGAGTACAACAGTGGCTAGCGTCCCGCGAGCTCCACGCACTATAGCCGTGGTCACGAGATTTTCGTGTTCACGGCCATAGTGCGTGTACCACTGGGTCAATATATTCCATCATCCATCAACACCACCACCACTCGCAGTGTACACCTATGGTCGGTGGCTACCCGTCGATGCACGTGTAAATCCTACTCGCTTTTAGCAAGACACTCAGCCCCGTAGTCACTCCAGCACCGGTGGGAAGTGAGGATATAGGGGAGGTGGGTGGCTGTGAGAGAGGTCTGAAAACGCCATGCCTACCCCCCCCCCCCACAACGCCAACACCTAATCCCTCATCCGCTCGCTCGCGTCCTAAAATAGCTGGCGTTAGCAGCCGTGCGCTGACGGCGCCAGCAGGAACTGTACGAAAGCAAATAGGGCCCCAGGGGGTGTACGGACATCAACGCGACGGCCGATTGCAGACGGGAGGTTGGCACAATTCTGAACCTATGCAAAAAAAATACCTAAAAAGGTAATCCGGTTTTGATCTTACACGCGATGCAGTTGTCCCAATTGGAATCGTCCTTTCCAAATAAAGAGTTCCACTCGCTGCGTGTAGATCGTCTATCGCCCGGTGCTTGGCTCCCGAGTGCAATTGCATCACCTGCACTTGCATCACCTGCACTCAAGCGCCAACATTCCCCAACATCATGGGACCTCCTTGGACAGTACCAACATGAGAAGCGGTTTTCCGCGTTTATCTGGCAACAAAACAGTAAAACACCAAACTGAAACCTTTTACAAGGAATCATGTCTGCATTAACCACAACACTTGTGGTCAGTATGCAAAAAAATCCTGATATATGCATTCTTTGTAACTGATTGGTCCACACCAGAAGCGTACAGCTGTGCTAACACACCCCCATGTGTGAACTCGCCTTTTGGCGTCCTCTGCTCTAACACCGAAAGCTGTCTCTGGTGCGGACTAATCAGTTTCAAAGAAAATGCATATAGTTTTTTTGTATACTGACCACAAGTATTGTGGTTAATGCAGACATGATTCCTTGTAAAAAGTTTCAGTTTGGTGTTTGAACATCTTAAAACCTGTTTTGTTGTAGCCTATCCTTATTCCCAAGCATATCGCAAATCTGATAGGAACCGAATCAAATCCAGGATTGACCTGGTTAACTGGGGTCAGATTTTAATTAATTCATGGAAAACCCTGCAGCCACGAAGAATTATGCGTTCACCGCAATGGGAACACATCGATGACGATGCCAAATTACCCTCGCCCGGAAGACAGGTCGTGGGTTCGATCCCAACCTCGACTGTTTTTTCAGATACTCTGGGGTTTCCCTCATTTAGAAACATTTCCACGTGATAAGCCACTTATTTGGGGCAAGGTCATTATTAAGAGCGATTTAGCGCAGGCCTTACCTGGCAACATAGGCCATGCTTTGAATTGTGCTCCACTGTAAACAAATGCTCTTCACCTCCTGTATGCAGTCATTGACACAACCCAATAGTGAATTAGAGACCACAAACCATTGCTCATCACATTTCACTCCCAATAGAATTTCCCACGAGATTAAATATTCTGAACCGATCCTAAAGCACTTGCAATGCAGTTTGGTGTATTTCCTATCTACGAGTGTTATATTTTTTACCAAAGCTATTTAAAATGTTGTCAAACGGGGCCGATTAATGGGCCATGCAGTGGCTTGCAAAAATCACAAGGCGCCAGACCACCGCAATGTTATGCCCCCTGCTGCATAGCAGTGGAACTACAACCATGACAATGCACGACCCGCGTGCACGTTGACGGCTTCTCCCACGCAGTCTTCCGGTTGCTGTTCGAACACCGCGACGGCGATGCGTGCCGTATGGCAGAGGGGAACACGGTGACCAAAAACCGCGTTGGGGCACCACGTGAACTACCTTGCCGAGTATTCAGTTCGCGGGTCCAATCCCAACCCCGACGATTGTTGTGTATTTGGAGTCTGCACGTTCTCCCCATGGTTGCGTGGATGTCTTCGGGTCTGGTTTTTCCCTCCACTTTTAGAAACGTTTTAGCCACCAGTTGCGGCTAGGTCGCTTCTTGCAACCAGCTATATAGCTCAATATGCTACAACTGGACAAATAAGGTTCATATCTTGACTTTCGCGACTGCAGGAATTCATGCTTTGGGTCTTTCGGTAAAGTCACGTAGATAGGTTATTTTATTTGAACCTATCTACGTTACTTTCCCTAAATACCCAAAGAATATAAGGGTCATAGTTTAATAGTTTAAGGAAATTGCTAATGCCGAAGCGATCCCGTCGCCGTGAAAAAAATAAAGCGGCTGAAATATTTGACAATTTTTGTGAAACCCCAAAGAAATAAACGAGGCACGACCGTCGCCACCCTTAAACCCTCGAAGCACACGGAGAGGAAAAACACCAGGGGGGCCCCTTCTGAAACAGCTCTTTATTATTGCGGTCAGCGGACGCGCGAGTGGCCGCCACGCGGCCGCGTGGAGAGCCCCGCCGCTCAGAAGAAGGTGTTGGGCCTCTTGGTGGTGAAGCGTGGCTTGTGCTGGCGACGAAGCACGCGGTGGGGCAGCGGGAACTTGATCTTGGAGTTCTGTCGGGAGCGGGGAACGGACAAGGCGGCGGTCAGCGACCGAGCGAGGGCGGCACACGACCACAGGCCGCACGTGCGTGACGACGTGATACACAAAAAGCAGTTCACAGTCCAGCCGGGGGGGGGTAAGATGAACGCTCGCGAGAAAGCCGTTTTCAGCCAACTGAAAATTGACGACTGTACTCTCTGGATGATGACGATGAGATGCTATGGAAAAGTAAGATGGCACCCCAAAACGTTGGGGGGGTCATTAAAAAAAACACACATGTCCAGGTAAAGTAGGAAAAAAATGGTGGACATGTTAATAAAAGAGCAGATGCTGGGAAAAAATTTCATCTCGTAATCCAGGTATTATGGTGGTGTAAATGGCTGTGAGATAGCAATAAGGTTGCCGACTGTACCCAGTAACAATCAGTTATTTAACCCTCGTCCCACACAATTCTGGAAGTGGTGATGGTGGAAACCCCTCAAATTACTTAAAATATGGGAAAAAGAGTGCGCTATCAGGAGAATAGGGTAATAAGATTCCTCGGGACACCAAGACCCATAATCCAATGGATTATGGGTCTTGATGTGGGTCTATTTAATTATGATGATGGGGTGCAGTGGTAAGTCCGCCACGCTATCAATCCAACGACCCGTGTTCAAATCCTGAGTGTCGTGCAGAGTAAACCGGCGCGCCTCGGGGAACATAACAGCTGAAGTGTGACGCATTGAACTCTACTTGCACAAGAACAATGAAGCAGACGCGGAGGGTCACTTTCTACCAAAACCGGAAATGAGGATTCCGCAAACCCCAATCCTTACGCAATACGACGTTTCACCTCTCCATGGTCATCTATGTGTATACAAACTAAACACAAAAAGCAGTTCTGAAGAATTGAGTTTTCAATATAAAATTAAAATGTATATCTTTGGCTCGACGACATCAGAGAAATGTGGCCGCGACTTGAGCATACTGGCACAGGACGGAGGAAAGTGGAAACAAGTGACAAAAAGTGCAGTGGACACCTTACGGGGCTATCTGACCACGGATCGTGGCGGCGGCGACGACGACCATCTTTGGGCACTCAAGCGAAGGCCAATATTTTAAACGCACACCTCACACACTTGTTGCAGCGTGTAAAGCAGCAAGGATTGTTAGGCAGTGAAACACGAGAGGAGTGCAGGACGGGGGAGGGGGGGGGGTGACTGCCTGAGCGCAGAGACCAACACGGGGAGGGGGGGGGCACTGACGTGGAACTGCTTGATGGCTGGGCGGCGGCACTTGCTGGCCTCGATCTCCTCCACCTTCATGATCTGGATGGAGTGGGCACGGGCGCGATGGCGAGCTCCCATGTCGCGATCTGCGAGCGAGAGGACGGGAGGGGGGCGCCATCGGCATCATCCCGGACATCACGTCAACCCCGGTGATATCTTCACTTTTAATTAGAGCCAGAACGTTTAGTTACACTGGAGGAATCCGATGAGGAATAAAGCTCTTGTTGAAAGACGTCCGGTAGGGGCGGGTATACCATACCTGTAAACCCCTTATCAGTGCCCAACTTATTACAGACCAATTGAGACCTTATTGGTCAGCCTGTACCCCTTATAAATCTCAACGTTCATCCAACAAGTCCCATCACAAGGGAGAAACAAAGACAAAAAAATGTGCCAGTATTGAAACGGCTGTACACCGTATTAACCAGAAAACTACATTTCCCTGTACAAGAATAAGGGTAAACCATATGGGTTGACAGGTATGGTCTACTGAGACTTTGTACACCACGTTACAACAAAACCCCATCCCGAGTAGTGCACAACTGACGTTTATTAGCTTAAATTGATAGAGAGAGATTACGCAAAACGGCTGTGTCCGTTTATACACGGTGTATATATACACACACAAGTTGGATATAAGCACACCATTTGGGAGCAAGGCCCACTGTGCTTATCTCAAGTGTGCTTATACCAGAAGTCACCCTTTTGACTTCCAACACCGCTGTAAAGTGCGTTTCTTATTTCCAAACTGTGCTTATATTAGTTGTGCGTTTTACCACATTCTACTGTCGGTTCAAGTATCACCACTGAAGCTAGCTGTTCCGACTTCTGGCTGCGGCCAAACATGAGTGAATAGTGAACGTGAAACGATGCCGGGATTCCCCTTTCCCCAGCAAGCAGACGAGCGCAAGAAGTTAAGCAAAACAACCACCACTACCCACACAGCGTGGAGGGGAGGCCGCCCTCATCCAGCAGTGGATTGACAACTGGCCGTCCGTGTCCACGTGATTCAGGCGACCGCAGGTGGTGGCGAGACGTTATCTCCCTCGCCTGGCATGCCACGAGGGGCGTGGGCTCGATACCCCGACCCCTGGACGCCCGTATATTTGGAGTTTGCACGTTTTCCCCGCGGTCCCGTGGAGGTTTTTTTTTTCTCTCTCTCAGGACTCTCCGGTTTTAAACCCCTCCACAATTACAATCAACATCACGCGTTTGCCGAGCATTTGGCCGCTGCTGTAAATGGCCGCGTGACAGGCCGGCCCTCGCTGAGCTATCAATTGCGGTGGCGAGGTCCACTTCTGAAAACTAAACCGTTGGGAGCGTCGGGCGGTGCTGGGTGCTTACAGCAGGAGGTGACCGCCCCAGCTGTGGTGAGGTCGCGGTACTCGCGGTACATGTTGTGCGTGCCACTGCGCGAGTCGCAGCGCAGCCAGATGCCGAAGTTCTTGATCTTCTCCGGGCTCTTCTCAGAGACCTGAAAACGTCAGCGCCAAGCAACATCAGAAAAGATCCTCCCCCCCCCCACCCCAGCCTTTGGATTAATGTAGATTGTACATTATAACGGGCACATGAGAAATATTTAGTTAATCTTTTGGACTGATAGGATGAGCTATCAGACTGCAGGAATGGGTCCAAGGTGGAGACATCTAATTAGAATAAAAGGGCATAATTTGTTTTACTATTAATACTTCCAGAGGTGAAGGTTTGCTGAAAAAAGCACTCGATATTAAAGGTGAATAAAACAAATCTAGAACTATTACAATTACATTTTCCTCTCCCATAATTTTAAGTCCACAAATATTTGCGGCTTTTCTGTCAATGTTCTAACTGCACCAAATGCTATAAAGTTAATAAGATCTGTTCCAACTTGATTTCACTTCTGGGGTCATTGGAGGGACCCCAGAAGGCGACAAGTCGAAATGCTCTCCGCGCACGAGACTTAAGAACACCAGGGGTATCTAGATGCTCTTAATGGGTTTGTGCGCAGTCTACAGAAAGCAAATCATGGCCACTATTTTGCCAACGGAGCCTTCCTGTATCACCACGAGGAGATGGCAGAACTCAAGCAACCAGGACAAAAACACTAAAACACTTTCTTAAAACACTGTGTGGCCTTGAAGCAAAAGTATTTGATAGGGGACGTTTCAGGCAATGGCCCTTGTTCATGGATTTGCAGACTCTTGCCCTTCCCCCGGCACCTTCGATTAGCATGGTCTGCTACGTGCGGTGCAAAAGAAGTTCAATGTAGGGTACCATACAGGGCGCACGAAGTACTAAGGAGCGTCGGCCGCCAAAAATAATTTACAGCACCAACAATCGCTGGCACGCTCACCCTGCCGCAGTAGACAATCTCGCCAGCGGACTTCTTGAGCTTCTTCAGCTGGGAGGCGAAGTACCAGAAGCGCGACTTGGCCACCACATGGTTGGGCGCGAAGATGCGCATGCGGTAGAGGGGAGGGTGCACCTGCTTGGGGGAGGGCAGGCGACGCCCGATGATCTTGTACTCCTTGAGCTTTGGGGTCCAACGGGAGGCGGAAGGGGGGACCACACAGAAAATCAATGCACGGGCAGCGAGCGTTCGAGGAAACGTTCGCGAACGCGCGCCAAAGTCGCGTGAAACAAAAAAACCCGCTTTCGACAGCGGCGAACGGGGGGCTGTGGTGTACACGATTTATTTTGATCCCGCGAATGGCTAAAGAGCTTTGCACCGGCTCCATAAAACAATTTCGCGCTCTAAATTTTAATGACATCTGAGATGCTGTGGTCCCAAGGGGGAAAAATGCACTGGTAAAAATAAATTCTTACACTCGCACATCTACTGAATGGTGGGAGAAGTGGTTTACAATGTATTTTATATGGTTATATTAGGTCACTTGGTCCCTTGACTTATCCTAAATGGCAATTCTTCGGCTAATTATCGTGGTATATTTAGAATCCAGTTAAGATTCATTTTCAAGGATAAAATTTAATTTCGAGGCTTTGTTCAGTAATGTTCTGCATGTCAGCATGTCTGGTTTGTTGCTTCCGGACCTAAATAATTGCAAGCCAAGACATACAATGTTCTGTTCCAAGTGTTAACAGTTTTGGTAACAATCATACTTTCCATACACGGGTTCACTCTTGGAATAATATACAGCTGTCAATCCATACGGTTTACTCGTATTCTTGTAAAGGGAAATTGAGTTTTCAGGTTCATATGGCACACAGCCGGTTCAATACGGGCACATTTTTTTTGTGCTTCTTCCTTGTGATGGGACTTTGTATGATGAACGTTCAGATTTATAAGGGCACGGGGTGACCAATAAGGTCTGAATTTGGCCTGTATTAAGGTAGGCACTGATAAGGGGTTGACAGGTGATGGAATAACATGGCATGACCATTGTTCCTTACAGATTAAAAACGTGTATTCTAAATGTAACGGCTTTCACATTTTCTCAATTTAGATGCATACATTTGTATCATCCAAATGTAATATGCAAATTATACCTTAGTTCCTAGTCTCAGTTTTATTTGCTTTATTTTATAGAAGCTGTTTTACCAAATGTAAATGTTGCAGATTTGCTCTTCAATACACCTGTGTGCTGTACTAGTAACAAATTAGCATGTTCTGTTTACGTGACAAATCTTACTAATTGGTTGTGTCGGATGGTGGCGGGTTTAACGACAAATTAATATTAACGCGACCGAACCCAAAACAACTTATATTATGGATATTGGTCGCGAAAGCCTACGTGTGTTAAACTTGACATAAAGCTTTCGTGACAGCAGGAATTCACATTCTCTGGGTCTTTCGGTAAAGTCATGTAGATAGGTTGACGTTTCGATCGCAACGTCGTAGTTTTTTTGTTATTTTCTTTCAACCTGTCTACGTGACTTCACCGAAAGACCCAAATAATGTGTTAAAACTGTTTTACCAGGGAGATTCTGAAATTAAACATGTGATATTACCCCGGATTAGTCAATAAGGCCATTTCTTATTGTTTAATAAAGGGTTGTTTCTCACCTGCAGGTAAAATAAAAGTTTACTACTACTACACATGCTCTTATTGATCCGTGACCTAAATCGACGGAGTTGACAAACCCAGGAACTAGATTAAACAATTAAACAAAATATTTGTCAATATCCGTACACGTTTATATATTGCCATTGTTGTATCAGCCATGTTCACTTCGCGGGCCACGGTAGGAGACCCGTGAAGGCTAAGGGCCGAACCTTCCTCTCTGCACACATGACTTAAGGGCATCAGGGGTGGCTAGATGCTCTTAATGGGTTGTGTGCAACTGGCGTTTACAAAAAAATATAACCTCAGGCCGAGGCGTTCATAGCCAAGGGACGAGGTGCTTATCATTATTTTACAAGGGCTGAGACACCGGGATTTTAAGTGGCCAGTGAGTATTGCGATTTTTAATGAGTTATTAAAAAATAAAATTGATCTCGGTTAAGACGGCCTAGAAACGCCGGTTCAGAGGACGACAATGGCGATATTTTAAGACGAAACAGCACCGTATGGCCTTGTTACTTTACGGCTAACACGTGGTAGAGGCCCATAGACAGCGACAAAATCATCAAAACGTAGCTTAATATGGGTTAGTACGTCCAAACATTTACACTTGACAGACACGCCACTCTCACAATTAACCGAAATTTTAACCTCCAACTCTATCAACCCCCGCTGCTTTAGTCATAAAAGTAATGAAAGATCTCTGCTCACACGCGCATGGGCAGACTTCTCCCGTTCACAGCCCAGAATCGATGGTGGAAGAAAATGAATGAACCGGGCAGCCACTGGTGAAGTGCTACTCACGTGGTCGACCGACGATGACTTTCTGGCGGTAATTATTTTCTGGCACTTTTTAAAATTTCGACGTTAGCGCCAACATTGCGGGAAAAGCCCGCAAGCGGATACTGTTGTAAAATTCAGCTGTTTGATGTAATAACGCCCTATTAAATATTTGATTCACGAGCAGACATTCTCTATAGACTGCTGGATGGTCTCCATGGCCGTCTTATCCCCCAACTCCCATTTAATTACTCTTTGGTTCTATTCGGTAAAGTCACGTAGGTAAAAAAATAAAACAAAAATCACGACGTTTCGGCCACAACACAAGCTTCATCAGGTGAAGGGATGAAGGCCGCTTGTGTTGTGGCCGAAACGTCGTGATTTTTGTTGTTTTATTTTTTACCTACGTGACTTTACCGAATAGAACCCAAGAGTATGGATCCTTGCAGTCACGAAAGCTTTAAATCTAGAATTCCCATTTAATTAGTCAACATTAAAAACCGCGTGTTAATACCCTGTTATTCTCAGGCAAATACTGCCTGTCCCAAGACTGCGTGCATATTTTTATCCGGGTTAAATACCCGAATCGGCCCGTTTGGCAAAATTAAATTCATGGTTTGGAACAGCAGCCTATTAACACCGCGCGACAATAAAACATATTTTAACAAAATGGTCCACCAATGTTCTTCACAATTTTGAGCAAGCAAAAATGCACACCGTCTAGTATAACACGACCAGCCTAGCTTTATAAAAAAAAACCCAAATTAGTTTAAATACGCTCGTGGATACGTTACAGAACGGCGAACACGCCGCGTTACCAACAAACCCCAAATTAAGTTCCGATTCCCGGCCATGAGTTACAACGACGAGGTACAACGCCCGTCAGGACGAGTCCTGTAGTTACAAAACCCAAGACCAGGACCCCCCCCCACTCCACGTCGCAACTTCGCACCGACCAGCGTGGCGAAACGTGAGCATGCAGCAGCACTTTAACGCACACCAACAAAAAGCGGCCGTGGATTAAACCAAATAACGATTAAGCCCGTGAGGCGAGAAGCGCCGCCCGCCCTGGCACGTGGCCGCCAGGCGCCATGTCAGAGCCAGAGCCGCCAGGAGCGGGCGAGATACCAAAACCCCGAGACCTAGGCCACCGACAACCCCGCGGCTCCCCAAGCTCGCCGCGTGGACGACCGAGAGAGTGCGGACGAAAGGGGAGAGCGAGATGGGCTGGAGGAGGATGGGGGGGGAGCGAGGGGACCGCACCGCTCCGGAGGCCTTCATCTTCCCTCGTGGACGCCTCGCCGGAAAGAGGGAGCCGCCTCGCTTCCGGGTCACGCTTCACCTTCCGGGTCGCATAGGGAGGGGCTAAGAGGGAGGGGCGGTAACGTTTACTTTTAAAAAAAATAGATATTTAGAATGTATTTACAATCGGGGAAATGTTTAGAGTGTTGGTTCGATAAAGTGTCGTAATTTTGTTTGCGCGCGGTCGCATTCGTTTCCGATGTATGCTGAAAAAATAGAAAAAAAATTAAACTTTCGATTTCCGGTTTCGGGTAACGCGGTGCCCGCGTGGCGCTGCGCGGCGTCGATTCCCTCGCCGGGCGGAGCGACTCAAATCGTGCGACTCCAACCGACTCGGATCGATCATTCACGAAGCACGCGGAACGAACGCCGCTTGCAGGGAGGAGGAGGAGGACGACTGCAAAGGTTGCAACTTGCAAAGGCCCCCGAGCATCGAACCACAAACCCCGGGAACAAACGAGAGAGGAGAGAGAGAGCGCGCGCGCTGACGGAAAAATCAACCAGGAATCGATTCATCTCAAGTGTGCGCGAGTGATCCCGTGGTATTTGACTGAATCACAAAGAGGGGGGTGATTCCAAATGTGAATCCAAAATTTATTGATTTAAGGTTCGATCGAACTCCAATCGAACGCAATCGATGAATCCGCAACAAGATTCGATTTATTCGTGAATCCAGATATCGACGCGAATCTCATCAAGAATACAAATTTTAATCTATCCACTTGCCCGGTGCTTTCCCACGCCCCGTTGGGTTCATCCATAGCGGAGTCGGTGTTCTCTATCCACTGCTGGCTTGCTCCCAGCCCGGTTGGGTTCATCAATAGCGGAGTCGTTGTTCTCTATCCACTGCTGGATGGAGGCCTCAATCATGCCGTCACCGCCCATCTGACTCCGTGCACGCACGAGAAGCAGAATATTTGTTTACGCTACGCTGGAGGAATCCGGTGAGCTGTAAAGCTCTTTGGATGAAAACACAAGAATAGGTTTTACCCTTTCTGGCAATGTAACAGAAGTTATGTTAAGATGTTCAAACACAAAATAGAAACCTTGAGCAAGGAATGAAGTTACTGCATCAACCACACTCAGTACTTGTGATGAACGTGCAAACAAGCATGGCTCTGATCACAGATGATGCATTGTCTTTGTAGCTGTGGTTAATGCAGACATGGGAGTTTTGAACATCCTTACACCCGTTTTGTTGCCAGAAAGGGCCAAATCTATTCTTATTTCTTCATACTTTTGATACTGGCAAAAACACAAGGTCCCATTTTACAAAGTTCTTTTTCCACAGAGGATCTCATCATAAATTTTTGATTTAAAGCTTTCGTGACTGCAGTAATTCATATTCTTAGCTCTTTCGGTAAAGTCACGTTGAAGGAAAACAATAAAATAATAAAATATATATAAAACAATAAAAATTCTCACGACGTTTCGACCATAACACAAACGGTCATCATCAGGTGATGATCATCAGGTGATGATGACCGTTTGTGTTATGGTAAAGTCACGTTGAAGGAAAACAATAAAATAATAAAATATATATAAAACAATAAAAATTCTCACGACGTTTCGACCATAACACAAACGGTCATCATCAGGTGATGATCATCAGGTGATGATGACCGTTTGTGTTATGGTCGAAACGTCGTGAGAATTTTTATTGTTTTATATATATTTTATTATTTTATTGTTTCCCTTCAACGTGACTTTACCGAAAGAGCTAAGAATATGATCTCATCATAGCTCCGTTTTTGCCGGGGCGGTGTCCGTGGTGCTGCTGGGACTTCGTGTGTCCCTCCTTTGGCTGCCGTTCCCTCGCCACACATCGTCCTCGCCCCCCTATCGGCCCACGTCCCCTTCCCAAAAAGAAACTTAAAGAGTATAAACGATTTTTTTTTATTTTACCAGGTTAAGGCCCCACTGAGCTACGTGGCTTCCTTTTCAGAAGCGACCTGGCCACAAATGATAGCTCAACGAAGTGGCTTATCACGTGGAAATGTATTGCAGATTAATACTCTAAACGCGTGTTTCACAAATGTGGAGGGAAAAACCGGAGGACCCGGAGACAAATCCACGCGATCACGGGGAGAGAGAGAGAGACGCAAACTCCAAATATACAACGGGCATCAGGATAGCGATTGAACCCACGACCTCCTGTAGACCTGGCGAGGTAGTTAACATCTCGCCACCGCGGTGCCCCGTTCATCCCCGATGTGTCCAGCTCAAGCCCACTTATCCGTTTCAATTGCCAAACTAATATTGAGTGAATTGGGATCCATGCTACAATTTGAGATACAATTGTACGTGTGACTGAATTATTTTACTGAAGTTGCCAACGTAGATTGCGTTTACAGAATGTACTCTGCAGAATATTGATGTGCCATACAATATGTTTGGAACCGTAACATGATCAAACTATGCAATATTAACACAACACACAAATCCCTACACATGGTGCAATAAATGCACTATTCCAACAACATTACAAATTGCACAACACATTTTATGAAATGAACGTAAATCTGTATAATGAAAGGGTTTCCAGCTTAATGTCTTGGCAGTTGTGGGAACAATGCCAGGTTAATCAATCACTGTTTCCAATAAAAGGAGAAATAACTTGAATCAAAATGACCATTGTTCAAAAAACATTAACAAACCCCTTTTGAAAACCAAGAGTGATAGTCCAATGTCAATCCACTGCCTGCATGGAGGGCACCCCAGAAGGGTTTTAGTCACAGAGGTTGTTTGACCATACCTCACCGCTCCGTTCAGTGCCGTTCTGTCCAGATGGGGACAAGATCCGGTTAAGCTATCACTCGCCACTGATGTCAGCCGTGGCCGGGAACTTAACTCAGTTCGCCCGGGTTCATAGCACGGTGCGCTCACCATGCCACCGGTCCGTGGCCGTTTACCGTTTCCCAAATGGAATCGTCTTGGGCGCTGCTAAGAGTCTGCTTGGGGAGGCAGGGTGCGGGAGAGGCGAAGGAGAAGAGAGCATTGTGTGGCTGGCGTGAAGCTGTTTTGCGATGGTGTTTATTGCCAGGGCAAAGGTGCGGTACGTGTCCCTGTGAATATGGATTTATTTCCGGAAAACATCAAATACAGACAACAAATTCAATTGAACACTTTTATTGTGCTAAAACATAATGCTAACCAGTGTTTTGGCAGACAAAAAAATTCCTTATCACGTCAATAAAATAAACAGGCTCCTGTCTCTAGCTAAAACTTTATATTGTCTACAGCAATAAAAATTTGAATATGAAAACTTAACATGCCTACAGTGTAAACAAACAAAAAAAATCTTCAAATTTATGAGTTCCAACCTCCAAATAGAAAAATCAATCGGGTGGCATAGTGAGCCACTCTCACGCACGTCCCTCAGCTCCGGTTAAAACTTGGGTGCCGTAGAAAGCTCTGCAACAAGATTAGGAACCCGCACCTTCCTCACGATATGGAGTCTTCCTTTATTTGAATACAAATGATGATATAATAACGTTGCAAAATAGAGTTGAATTTCAGCGACTCATTATGCTAACCTTGGATTGGAGGACAAATGAATGCTAGCAAATTATCTATTTTTTTAATGTCGGTCCACTCCGAATCTTCTTCGTAGCTGTCATAGGGATCTCATGAAATAATACAGTTTTCATTTTTGTCCCTTTTAATGGAACAGCAATGAGTTTGTGGAGCATAAGAGGGAGGCTCGTGGAGGCATTGATGCCACAAGCACCTTGAATGTGGCCGGGGCCACAGCGAACACGTGCACACACACGGACCACCGCAGGAAAGTGGCCGCAACAACAACAACAACATCTCCACGCCGGTGCGCGCGTGTTCAGCCCCCCCCAACCCCCCCCCCCCCCCCCCCCCCAAAAACACCACCAAATTACACGACGATCTCAAAAAAATATAGCACGGCGTTCCTTCTAGTACACTCACACCGAACAGGCTATAGGGAAACATGAGCGCTTTTAAGGTGGCGTAAAAACCGACAAGATTTTTCGGTGGGTTGAAGCTGCGTGCGTGCGAGCCGGCGGGCGAGGCGTGTGGGCGACTATCTCGAGGAGCTCGTGGGCCGCGCTGTGGAAATGAAGAGGCGCCGAAGACTTTCTCTCTCCACACGCGAGAGTATCGATGAACCTGCAGACATTGCCGGTAATATCACCGATGGAGTCACAATGGCGTGGGTTGTTTTTTAAAAGCATCGCGGCAGGCAACAGCTAAAGATTCCGCCCCGATGTTTAAAAGGATTCGTACTTGGTGGGAACTCATCGTTGGATGTCGCATGGAAAGTCTGGTTTCCACAATAACAATACAGTATGGAGTTTTCACCGCTGGGTTAGGATCATTCATAATTATGAGTAACGCCCAAGGCTAATTTTAACAAAGGAACACACTTTAATATTGTTAATGCAGGTAGAACATACGGGGCCAACCAGGGAGGAAGTTGAAGATGTGAGAATAAAAAAAATATTCTGTGGTCTTCCCGCTTACGGCCAAATATTAATCAGTAAATTGAGCTAACGAACAGGACACTGATTGCGAAACCTTGCCACCACCTATCTATCGAATCATAAAACTGCTTTCGTTGATATTTCAAAAATTACAGCTATCTCCCATTGCAGTGTATTATTATTATTATTGAACCTTAAATGGAAATATGTTCGCATAACCTTCCATCTGTCTTGTTTTAAATTCACTCATCGCATGTGCTTGCATTTACACCAGGTAGCTGCGCTTTGTCTGCACACAGCAAATGTACAGCCTTAAACACACAATAAATTCACACAGTGTAAGCTTTTTATGTTTTTTTTAAACAGCTGAGTACCGTGTACAAAAAAAAATCCCAAACGTAGTGTGAGCAACCAGCATCATTACAAAATCGGTTGTCGCAGTATACCATATACGCATATAAATATAGTCAGCACTTTATCATTTTCACCCATCGATTCGAAATACTTATTTCAGCACTAGTTACACGTTACTTCATCATTAATATCAAGACGGACGCATTAACCAGTTTGAGAAAAAAAAACGAGGCAAAGCTTTTCACGAGAAACACGGATGGGTGAGGGACCCGCAAGCAGCGACCACTGCTGCTGATGATGATGATGATAGCTCTACCTCCCGTCTGCGCTGCTTGCATGCGTTGCTTACATAAGGCCAAGCAAAAAGACTGGGTCACGAACCTTCAAAATCATTTGTAGAATAAATCGGTGATAGCAAAGCGCCACTCCCAATGTAAAACAAAAAAACAATTTGCGTTGTTTAATGTGGACGTGACTGAGAGGAGGACCTCCGAGGGGACGGAGCGATTAAATCGACTCGCGCGCCACGTCGCGGTGATCGTGAAGGATTGGGGAGGTCTTCATCCAGCAGTGAATTGATCATGACTGCTGTTGCTGATTATGATTCAATGTAAATCGGGTCTGGCACCTGTTAGCTGGGGTGAGGGGTGGGTGTGCGATGATAAGATATGAAACACAAGTGTCTGTCTGGCTCAACGGCTGAAAAGACAAAACTGCGAGCCTGCCGGCGGATAGAGATCGGTGTAAACATTGATGCTGCCGCACAGCGCTAGCGGCTGTGAGCGCTGGGGTTCGTTCTTGCGTTGTTCGGACAAGCGCTACACCGTGCCGCACCGCAACGGCGACTTAAGAGAGGAACGGACACAAGGGCCATGGGATGCCCATGTGCGAGAGAACGCCCTGTCCTAAGTGGACACTTGCACGGGATTATTGCCCGTAGTAACACTTACAGTCAGCTTGCATGCACTGTCAAATAAAATGATCGTCTCGCACTCTTTGCAAAAAAAAAACTACAACAGGCTGGAATTGTGCTACTCCTTACAGCTATCTTGGGTTTTTTTTTGTGTTTCACCCGTTTAATTTTCACATGGCATGGCTTTTTAGACGACGATTAACCCTAAGGATGCTTCTTCTCCAGCGCTCTCGTGACCCTTGACCCTGATCATGTCATCGCAGTGCAACGTGGGTGACCCTTTGACCCTTGACCGCCGACCTCACTCGGGGCCGGCGGTGGCCGTGGCCGCGGCGGTGGCGGCGCTGGGCACCGCGATGGCGGAGGGCAGCTGCACGAGGGACGGAGAGGTGGGTGACGGAGTCCCCGAGATCATTTCGTCGGATGCGGACAAAGAAGATGGGCTTGGGCCTGCGAAAAAAGGAATAACGTGACGCAGTGGCATGGACCAGTGATTGTTCAGGCAACGCGACTGCACCGGTAGCCCGTGGGCTGAAGAGAACCAGGCTCCAGCTACTGAGATGGTGGGAGGGGTGGTGATGGGACACGGGAGAGCCTTATTTGAAATGAGTTTTCGATATCACCGTGCCACACTGCTGATCAAGAGACATGTGATCGTTAGGTGTGCGACGTGGAAGAGACTACCGAGCTGTGTAAAAGTAATTCGCAACTTTTTATATCAGCAGTCATCGTGAACTACAGACATCAACCTGTTTCTTTTTTTTTATGCCAGACTGATGTTTATTAAAAAAACGATCTGATAACAAAAACATATTTCTCCTCTGGTCAGACCTACTTTGACGAAACTCCAACCACCCCCCCTCCCCACCTCATCAAATCACTTTGAAGTCGCAAAAGAGTTACAGCAAACCACGGGGTAAGTTGAGAGATAGAGCCTATCGTCTTAAGCCTGCCTCTGCGAGATTGGCACCTACACATTGGGCATGCAACCAACTGGCACCGATCCGCAAGTGTCTCGGCAGCCCAAGGATTTGGCACGCACGACTGGAAGGCAATTAATTATTGGCGATGCCTTTCCTTTAACATGCTGAGCTGCGTCTGCAGAAAACGCACCTTGGTGACTCTAATTAACCCTGCCGGGCAAGCTCTGCGCGTGGGGTCAGGGGATGGCAGGTCTACAGAAAGACGGAACCAAGGGAAAGTACAAAGAAGGCAAAATGACATTGGCATAAACTGATTGGACGCGATCGTTGTAATGGCAAGGTGTGGGGAAAAAGCCGATACATCGGGATGGGATGCACGGAAAGCCCACGTGTAAGACTGAGGGTCGGAGTGTGGCGTACAGTGTTGTATGCCGCAGACACGTGGACTCTGAGGACGGAAGAAATAAGAAGACTGGAGAGTCTTCAGCTGTGGCTTGTTGCTTGGAATGGAGAAACACTATTTGGTGGAGAGGAGGAGCAATGGGGACGTTGTAGAGCAGGTACAAGAGGGGACATTATAATAAAGAACAATACCAAAAATTCCAACAGATGTGGATTGGGCATATTCTCAGAGTCGAAAGCTTGGTGAAGGGAGGTCTGGATGGAGCATTTTGGGAAGGAGGCCAATAAACACAAAAACAAAGACGCTGCTTGACAACTCGAAGAAAGGGGCACCTTGGTGATATGAAGGCTGTCACGAAGGAGCCTGTTTTAACAGATGATGAGCCAGTAGGGGGCGATGTTGCCAAGTGTTTATAGCCAATTAAGTAATTTGTGGTTTAATGAACATATTTTATTGGCACATTTTGACAACGACGCCGCCACACGCGGGCCTTCTCTTTTTCAAACGACGCCACTGGATCCTTAAGGTCCACCGCGTTCAAATTTTTTTTGTTGCTAAAAATACACGCAGTATTAACCAGGGCGGCCACCGGCCTTCGGACCACCTCCTACAACAAGCGGCAAACGCGCCCACCGCTCGGTCGTGTCACCGCCCCCCCAAATAGAGAGACAGAGACCACGGGGAGGGGGGGGGGGAGTGAAGGCGGGGAGCGGTGCACGCAGAACAACTCACAGTCCTTGCTGACGGCAGCCGGAGTGAGAAATTTGCCATTGCTGGGGCTGGCGTGTGACTGCTGCGTCGCACTGTCGTGGTTGGAGCCGATGTGCAGCCTCCGCATGTGGCACACGATCACCGTGGCGTTGAACGCTTGCTGTGGAACAACGACCGTGTGCTGCGTCAGCTGCGCCGCGCCCCAGGCCGACGTCGAGACTGGGCAAAGCTGACGTCTATTATTATTATTACTTCACACGGAATGATCTTGCCGATAACATCCGATATAATCTAGCAGCATTTGTTTAACAAGCACGACTCTGCTGATGAGGTCTCCGCAGAAGGTCAAACGGGGTCCAGGGTCTTGCTTGCTCAAGCGAATGCTGCTTGCGAATGTTGGAACGGAGGGCCAAAGCGCCAAATGGACTTAGCGATGTTTTTTGTTTCAACGTGGAGACTTTTTTTTTCCATCGTGCGGTTTAGCTCTCCGATCGGTTTTCGGGTTGCTACCTCGTGTTGTTTGGCACGATGTTCGACGTTTTAATTCGCTCCCTGAAGGGGCCAATGGGCACGTGGGAGCGAAACGTCAGACTTCGCGCCGAGAAAACAGCGCGGTGCAACCCGTAAACACGTGGGAGAGTTGTCGGGCGAACATCGATGAGGACTTTTGATTTAAAGCTTTCGTGACTGCAGTAATTCATATTCTTAGCTCTTTCGGTAAAGTCACGTTGAAGGGAAACAATAAAATAATAAAATATATAACAATAATTATTTTATTGTTTCCCTTCAACGTGACTTTACCGAAAGAGCTAAGAATATCGATGATGACGTCAGTTTGTCAATAATCGAGGCCCGTTTGAACCTCCCTGACATCAATCGGTCTCCACCACAGTGGCCCGGCATTCGCGGGCGAACCTTCATTGGCATCCTAGGCCCATATAATCTTGTCGACATTGTGTAAAATGTATATTTGTTGTCAGTTTGATTCCTTCTGTGCAACGGGCGTCATTTCGGATGTCCCGCAGAGCAATCCAACCCTGCACGTTAGAGAACGGCCCACTGAAGTGGCTATCACAGAGCTAAATGACATTCCTTCAAGCGAACTTGGCCTCCACAGTAGGGGGTGGGGGGGAGGGGTGAAGCACTTTACCCACTAACTCGCTCTGTAATTGAGAGTCAAACCAATATATGATTTATATTTCATCGTGAATATGTTTTATATTCTCAGAGATGCAATTTATCCAAACGAAGAAGTGACAACCCAATTCAATGCAATGTTTTTTGTGTGTTTGTGTGTGCAGCCGTTAGCGATCGGGCGGAGACCATCAACTCACAACAGTTGAGAACCCGGTTCAATCATAGACGGCTGAAACCTCGACTCGAATCCAGCATCTCGGCAGTAATGGCTTTAGTGCTCTGACCTTTGCCCTCTGATCCACCTGGCGGCCCTCTATTACGTTGGGGGAACAGCTGCCAGCGTCTGCGTCGAACACAACGGGGCAAAGCCCCGACGCGTCTACCATCCCTTTCTCTAAGACTGCGAATCCGGTTCCTCGCATCACAACGCCGACGTACGGGTCGCTGACAAACGCCGCTTCGTCGCCGTCCCGCGGTTAGCGGCCGGCTGCTGCGGCCGTGTGAGAGGAGCGCGGCGGTCGCTCCGAGCGCTGGGTGCGGCCGTCGTGCGCGCTACTCACTCTCCACTTGCTCTTGGCGAAGTTCTTTCGGATCTGCTCGCTGACCGACTCGTGGATGTTCTTGTCGAGGGCGGTGTCCCCGGCGATCCTGCAAGACGCCGCGCGGCGGTCAGCGGCCGTTTGCCGAGCCGAGCGACAACCAAACCATACAACTCTGGCCATGAAAAAAACCCCATCTGGATCTGCTTCGAGTGTGGGTGGGTGGGTGGGGGGGGGGTGCCAAATAGAGCTCGAGTTGCTCTTGACGATGACGTGTCATCGTGAGCACCATCTACGCGCGTCTCCGCTCGTCCATCGCGCGCGCGCCGCGACGTCGGAGGAGCAGCAACCCGGGCCGCCTCGTGGAGCCCGCCGCCGGGCTGCCTCGGCACGGCGCCGGCCACGGCTCGGTTGTGCAATGGAAAAAGAAGAGTTAGGAGAGAGGTAGGAGAGAGGGAGGGAGACGCGAGCTCACCACGGGTGCTGCAGCGCCTGCTTGCACGTGTAGCGCTTGGACGGCTCCTTCTCCATGAGGTGGTGGATGAAGTCCTTGGCTGAAAAAGAGTGGAGCAGCACAGAGGCGAGCGTCTTCAGCGAACGTGGGGGGGGGGGGGGGGGGGAGCTGGTGGTAGTGAGGCGACCGACTGTAATTATTTAAGGCTGAGGTGATCTAAGGGAGGCCCAGACCCAGGAATAGATCACAATTACCGCAGATTCCATGTAACAATCAAATAGAGGTCACACCGGGGACACGCATGCACGACACATGCAACGCCGGGCGTGTGACACTCGCACACATGCAACACTCACATGACACATGGAACACACACAAAGACAAAGATCCCTTTATAGCCTTCACAGTCTGTTGGGGCAAGTGCTGTTAGCGAGCACCTATTAAGGCCGGCAGAGCACACGAGGGGGTGGGTGGCCAGCACCACGCCCGACCGCCTTTGTCTTCCAAGTGGAGATGATTTTACACACCGCACCAGGCACTCATGTTAGGCTGAGTCGACCTAGGGGAGGCCCAGCACCGGTTCAGATAATCGTCACTGGTGTTGGCCGTGAGCCAGAGTCGAACTCGGCTCGCCGGGTTCGCAGCGTGGCGCGTTGAACCGCTGCACCGCCGCTCCCCACACACAACACACACACCACACACACAATACACACACCACACACAACACACACAACACACACACCACACACAACACACACAACACACACACCACACACAACACACACCACACACAACACACGCACCACACACACCACATACACCACACACAACACACACACCACACACAACACACACCACACACAACACACGCACCACACACACCACATACACCACACACAACACACACACCACACACAACACACACCACATACAACACACACCACACACACACAACACACGCACAGCGCATGTAGTACACACGCAGCGAGCTTGCCACGGCAATAGAAACCGTCGCTGTTATTATTATTCATCTGGCGGAGCACAGCGCTCCACAAGCGCACATCTTCCCACGAGCGAGAGGCGTCTGTGTGGACTCCCGCTTGATCAAATATAAACGAATCCCTTAGTACGCGTGCGGGCGCACGCGCGCGCGTGTGTGCTTATAATACATATTTCTCTCTCTCTCTGTGTGGCATCCGTGTACCCTCCAGTGTGTTACATTTCTCAAATTATCACCTGCGTATTTATTTCGCCCTTCCATCGGCGTCACCAATTATCGACGTCGCGCGCTGCTCGTGATGAACGCGCGGCGAATCGCGAGCGCCCGGCCAGAGCCAGCGATGGATGCGCATTCTCAAGGGATCGTTTGGAGCGCCCTCCATTACCCCCCCCCCCCCCCAACCTCATCCCCGACCCTTTTAACCTGGTCAAATTAAACGTGAATAAATAATCTGCTCTTCCGCCATAGCACATCAGGCTGCGCTCACCGGACTCGGAGATGTCGTCCCAGTAGGGGGAGTCGAACTCGTACTCGGCTTTCAGGATCTGCTCGAAGAGCTTGGCGTCGTTCTCGTCGTAGAAGGGGGGGTACCCGCACAGCCTGCGGGCCCACACAGCCAGCCCCCCACACCACCACTGCGTCAGGCGATCCCTCAACCACCTGACCCTGGGTTGAACACGGAACCCGGTCCTGCTCGGCCTGGTGGCTCGGTGACGGAGCGGGCGGCTCGCACTTTGTTGAGTTTAGAGTATGTGGCCGCTTGCTATAAATGTCCACGTGATGAGCCACTTATTTTGTTGAGCTATCGTTTGTGGTCAGGTCGGTTCTGAACAAAAAAGATTTCTATATACAGTGAGGGAAAAAAGTATTTGATCCCCTGCTGATTTTGTACGTTTGCCCACTGACAAAGAAATGATCAGTCTATAATTTTAATGGTAGGTTTATTTGAACAGTGAGAGACAGAATAACAACAAAAAATTCCAGAAAAACGCATGTCAAAAATGTTATAAATTGATTTGCATTTTAATGAGGGAAATAAGTATTTGACCCTCTCTCAATCAGAAATATTTCTGGCTCCCAGGTGTCTTTTATACAGGTAATGAGCTGAGATTAGGAGCACACTCTTAAAGGGAGTGCTCCTTATCTCAGCTTGTTACCTGTATACAAGACACCTGTCCATAGAAGCAATCAATCAATCAGATTCCAAACTCTCCACCATGGCCAAGACCGAAGAGCTCTCCGAGGATGTCAGGGACAAGATTGTAGACCTACACAAGGCTGGAATGGGCTACAAGACCATTGTCAAGCAGCTTGGTGAGAAGGTGACAACAGTTGGTGCGATTATTCGCAAATGGAAGAAACACAAAAGAACTGTCAATCTCCCTCGGCCTGGGGCTCCATGCAAGATCTCACCTCGTGGAGTTGCAATAATCATGAGAACGGTGAAGAATCAGCCCAGAACTACACGGGAGGATCTTGTCAATGATCTCAAGGCAGCTGGGACCATAGTCACCAAGAAAGCAATTGGTAACACACTACGCCGTGAAGGACTGAAATCCCGCAGCGCCCACAAGGTCCCCCTGCTCAAGAAAGCACATCTACATGCCCGTCTGAAGTTTGCCAATGAACATCTGAATGATTCAGAGGACAACTGGGTGAGAGTGTTGTGGTCAGATGAGACCAAAATCCTCTTTGGCATCAACTCAACTCGCCGTGTTTGGAGGAGGAGGAATGCTGCCTATGACCCCAAGAACACCATCCCCACCGTTAAACATGGAGGTGGAAACATTATGCTTTGGGGGTATTTTTTCTGCTAAGGGGATAGGACAATTTCACCGCATCAAAGGGACGATGGACGGGGCCATGTACTGTCAAATCTTGGGTGAGAACCTCCTTCCCTCAGCCAGGGCATTGAAAATGGGTCGTGACCCAAAACACATGGCCAAGGCAACAAAGGAGTGGCTCAAGAAGAAGCACATTAAGGTCCTGGAGTGGCCTAGCCAGTCTCCAGACCTTCATCCGATAGAAAATCTGTGGAGGGAGCTGAAGGGTCAAGTTGCCAAACGTCAGCCTCGAAACCTTAATGACTTGGAGAAGATCTGCAAAGAGGAGTGGGACAAAATCCCTCCTGAGATGTGTGCAAACCTGGTGGCCACCTACAAGAAACGTCTGACCTCTGTGATTGCCAACAAGGGTTTTGCCACCAAGTACGAAGTCGTGTTTTGCAGAGGGGTCAAATACTTATGTCTCTCATTAAAATTCAAATCAATTTATAACATTTTTGACATGCGTTTTTCTGGATTTTGTTATTGTTATTCTGTCTCTCACTGTTCAAATAAACCTACCATTAAAATTATAGACTGATCATTTCTTTGTCAGTGGGCAAACGTACAAAATCAGCAGGGGATCAAATACTTTTTTCCCTCACTGTAGCTGAGTGGGGCTTACCTGGCGAAATTTAAAATAATTGAGTTTTTATTTGACACGGGAGATCCGTGGTGCGTGAGCACAGCAGCAGCAACAAGGACGACACAGAGAGAGGACGTTGATACTGCAGTGAACAAGCGAAGGAGGCCCCTTGAGGAATATCGCAACAACGAACGAACGAGGTGTCTGACGGTCATAAACGAAGCGCACGCAAATTATAAAACAACAAAACACAGTAAAGTCACGTAGAAGGGAAACAATAAAATAATAAAAATATAAAACAAGAAAATTCTCACGACGTTTCGACTGCAACACAAGCAATCATCATCAGGTGTGAAAACCACAGCAAGAAAATTTGAAAAAAGTGGCGGTTTTTTTAACGTTAGCACCACGGAGAGCAATTTGGCAGTTGTCCAGATGGACGAGTTCATCTATGTTCGGAAAAGAGGAGGGGGGAGACGAAAATAATGGATGCGGTCTGAAAGCCACTGTAAGCGTGAACAATCAATTAAGACCCGAAATGGTTTATCAAAAACTTCCAATGATTGCTAAGCCATAATCCATCTTCTCGGTTGAAATTTTCTCTGTGTTTGTATATGTGGATAGCCTCATGAACGAATCTCTCATGGTAGCCAGATGGCTTGCGAAGAACCTCTGTCTTGGAGAAGTCAATGTCATGTGAGCCTACTGAATTATAACAGTGATCTGCCACGGCCGAGGTGTTGGTCCTACCGTGTTTTAGGTCTGCTTTGTGTTCACAAATGCGGTCCGAGACATGTCGTTTGGTTTCTCCAATGTAACTACTAACACAGAGGCAACTTAGTTTGTAGACGCCAGGGTACTTACTGTATGTCCGGAATCACATCTTTTACAGACGGAACCAGACAAGCCACAGACTCAAAGACAAGACACAGCACCCTCGCGGACGGATTATTCAGAGCGTGTTGACAGCGCCCTGACGAATTGCTGGATCACCATTCGGACTTTGGATTTCATATCGGCCGTATCATTGGCAAAACCCAGCAGATGGGGGAGATTTACTCTGAAATAAGAATCGCATTGCAATTCGAAGGCGGGAGAGCGTTGCCAGGCAATTGCTGTTTCCAGCGCTAGATAAGAGGCTTTGTTGTGTGCGCGGCCGTTCCCAAAGTCCACCCGTGTAGCTTCGGCACCAGCTATCGCAGCAAACGTCAAGACACTTTCGCCTGTGATCACAGACTACAAAGAATGCGTGGCAGATACTTAGGACTTGCAAGATAAAAGGCGAAGTCGCTTAACACACGTATCAAGAAAAGCGAACTCAGCAGTATCTGATATCCTGCGGTGTGGAAAGGCCCATTTCACTGTCAATTGTGACAAACGGCATCTCATATCTAGTGATTTTAGTTTGTTAGGTCCTTGCATTATTCCGTTTGCGGTTTCTTTATTCGCGATGTTGGTGACGGTTGTGGTTGCTGTTGCGTCTGGTTTCTCAGTAGCTGCCACTGCTGCTTACTCCGCTGATTCCGAACGCGATGTTTGGCCTCTAGGGGAGTTTTCCCTGGTTCAATAATGCAACTAAATAATTCTCAAAGTAAGTAAATAAGTAAACGCGCTTACAAATAATACAAATCCTCCATCCTGCCATGCAGCCATCGAGCACCAGCTGACATTGCTTACATCTGACCGCGGCGGCGAGATGTTAACTACCTCGCCTGGTATACAGGAGTACGTGGGTTCGATCCCAACCCTGACACCTGCTGTATATTTGGAGTTTGTGTGTCTTTCTCCCCGTGGTCGCGAGGATTTTTCTCTGGGTCCTCCTCCGGCTTTTCCCGCCACATTTTTAAACATGCGTTTAGAGTATTCGGCTGCTGTCAAGTTCCACGTGATAAACCACTTCGTTGGGCTATCATTTGTGGCCAGGTCGCTTCTGAAAAAGAGCTACGTAGCTCAGTGGGCCTTACCTGGTCAAATAAAAAATAGTTTTTCTTAGTTTTACGTTATGTAGGAATATAACAACAATTCGCCCGCTCTTCGGCACAATGTCCGACGTCCACTTCCACGTGCTGGGGGCTTCTTCAGGAAATGAATATTAAACAACAAAAACAACAACAAAAACTCCTCCGTTCGGTTCCCGAAAAAGCTCTTGGGCACGTGGAATGGGAACGTCGCCGGACGCCGTGCCGAACGACACGTGGCACCGACCCGACAGTACACCGGGAGCCCCACAGCGCCACAGCGAGTATCGCCTGCACGCTCATCACGTGCCACGAGGGAGAGCCAGGCATCAGCTGTGTCCAAGGCACCTCGCGATAACTCTCGCGACCATGACCCAGTAGAAAAGAAGAAGAAGAATAAAAACCAAACTCGGCCCAGTCGCCAATCACACTGTGGCTATAAAAGGGGGAAAAGTAAATGCATTATAGGTTGCGACGCTTCGGGTAATGGCCTTACTTCATACCACAGGGTCATCGCCCGAAACGTCACCTGCTATATTATACTTATATTGCCTTTCATGGCTACGGTCTTATTGACGACTGTGTTGAGCTGATTGTGGTGGTGGGGAGAGGGGCTCCCCGGGAGGGAGGTGGGGGGGGAGACACTCACAGCACGTAGGCGATGACACCAATGGACCAGCAGTCGACTTCTTTGCCGTACGGAAGCTGTGCCAGGATCTCCGGGGCTGACGTTCACGAGAAAAAAAAGACAAAGATCCCCCGTATAGCCTTCAACCGACTGTCGGGGCAAGTGCTGTTAGTGTAGCGAGCACCTACGCAGGACGGCACAGCACACGAGGGACCACGTGGCGCTGTGTGCACGTCTCACCAGGTACTCATTTGAGGCTGAGTCGACCTAGGGCAGGCCCAGGATCGGGTTCAGATAACCGTCAATGGTGTTGGTGCCCGTCAGTGGAAATGGAACTCGTGTGGCTGGTTTCGTGGTGTGCTGCCACTTCCCCGCACAAAAACAATTACATACGAAGACAAAGATCCCCCGTATAGCCCTTACATACTTTGGGGACAAGTGCTGTTAGCGAGCACCTACGAACGCCGGCACGGCACAAAGACGAAGATCCCCCGTATAGTCTCAACAGACCTTCGGGGACAAGTGCTGTTAGCGAGCACCTACGAAAGCCGGCAGAGACAACGACCCCCCCCCCCCCCCCCCAGATACGTGCCATGTGCAGAGACAAAGTACCCCCCCTCCCTCCCCAATCTCGTACAGCATCCACAGATCGCGCACTCGACAGCGGCAGCGCTGGCACCGCGCGTGGTTTGCTGAGCGGCGTACCCACGTAGCCCGGGGTGCCGCACGCCGTGGACATCACGTCCCCCGTCATCTGCACCTTGGAGAGCCCGAAGTCGCTGATCATGATCTTGGAGTCCTCGTCCGGGCTGTAGTACAGCAGGTTCTCCGGCTGAGACACGGGGCACGCCACGATAGGTCGTCATCTTCATCATAATCGTCGTCGCCGCCGTTGTCATTATCGTCGTCGGCGTGGTCAATATCGTGTTGTTGTTATTATTACTCTTGTCACTACAACCAAGACTGCTAATTTAATTAGTACAGCATTGTTATCATCATCAGTGACATCATCAGCGGCATTATTCTTATCGTAGTCGTCATGACTGCCAATATGATTATTGTTGCTATTATCATTTTCATCATTACTGTCATTATCGTTATCACTGCGGCCATCATCATCATCAATGAGATCATCATCGGTGTCATTATTCTTATCGTAGTAATCATGACTGCCAAAACGATTATTTTTCCTGTCGTTCTCATCGTTACTGTCAAGATCATTATCACTGCCATCATCGTCATCATCATGAATATCACCGTTACTAAACTTCGCACAATCATTCCAATCATTTTGCAATTGCAGCCATTGCTATTCTATCATCATCATCACGTTCATTATAAATGACTCCCTGGTGACCGAAGCAAACGCTGATGTGCGGTAGCATCCCTGATCCCGTAACAATCATCGTGCCGCAAGCTGCGAGAGGTCCCTGGCTGTAGCTAGCGCATCTCAATCCCTGGATCGCTCTCTCTCTCTCCCTCTCTGTCGCGACAAGAGAGGCGACGCTAACGACAGCGGCGGCCAATTTCTCAGTGAGCCTGCACTGAGATAATGTGGCCAACGCGGCCCTTATCGGGCGTCACGTCAACTGCACTGCCGCTTAATTGATTTAGCCGAAGATAAGCGCACGCATAGACAAAGACCCCCTGTGTAGCCCGCACGGACTGTCGAGGCAAGTGCTGTTCGGCGAGCGCCCTTCAAGGCCGGCACGGCGCACGAGGCGGTCGAGCGGGCCCCCTTCGTCTCTCCGGGGCTGACGTTTGCACGCCGCACCAGGTACTCGTCTGAGGCTGAGCAGACCTAGAGGAGATCCAGGACGAGTTCAGATGTGCAGCCGTCGCTGATGTCGCCGTTGGTCGTGGACGGGGAATCGCCAATCCAGGTTGGACCGGAGTCGTCGCGTCGGCCGCTCGCCACGTGGCCGCTGCTGCTGTGAAGCGAATCGCTCCCACGGGGACTTCACGCCGAGCTCAGCAGGCGGCCACGGCGTCGTCGTCGTCGCGCCGCGCTTTCGGACGCGTTTCTGCGGCCGTCTGGAACGCTCTTCCTTCCGATATTAGGAAGCCGCTGGAGCTTGGCACTTTTAAACCATCATCTTGGTTGAAAACGAATTTCTTAAGAACTGCTGTTTTGCACTTGGGTTGTTGTCCTTCCCCCGCACCTCCGATTAGCGCAGTTGGGTATGTACGGTGCGAAAGAAATTCACCATACGTACAATTTAATCAATGGGCGGCTAAAGCCGGAATCCAAACGCAGGATCTCAGTGGTGCCGGCCCACCCCTCTGACCTCTGAACTGTTCCGGCCGTCTCAACCCGCCAGCGTGCGGTAAAACTGGCGGTGAACTCGGACGTATGCACGTACGTATGTTGAACTTTCTTCGCACCGTACGTAGCACAACCGTGCTCATCGCAGGTGCGGGGGAAGGACAACAAATGATGGTGTGAGTCTATGGGTCTCTGTGTGGTGAGTCTGTGGGTCTCTGTGTGGTGAGTCTGTGGGTCTTTGTGTGAGTCTGTGGGTCTCTGTGTGGTGAGTCTATGGGTCTCTGTGTGGTGAGTCTGTGGGTCTCTGTGTGGTGAGTCTGTAGTCTTTGTGTGAGTCTGTGGGTCTCTGTGTGGTGAGTCTGTGGGTCTCTGTGTGGTGAGTCTGTGGGTCTCTGTGTGGTGAGTCTATGGGTCTCTGTGTGGTGAGTCTGTAGTTGTCCGTGTGGTGAGTCTGTGGGTCTTTGTGGTGAGTCTCTGGGTCTCTGTGTGGTGAGTCTCTGGGTCTCTGTGTGGTGAGTCTGTGGGTCTCTGCGTGGTGAGTCTGTGGGTCTCTGTGTGGTGAGTCTGTGGGTCTCTGTGTGGTGAGTCTGTGGGTCTCTGTGTGGTGAGTCTGTGGGTCTCTGTGTGGTGAGTCTGTGGGTCTCTGTGTGGTGAGTCTGTAGTTGTCCGTGTGGTGAGTCTGTGGGTCTCTGTGTGGTGAGTCTCCGGGTCTCGGGATGAGTCTTCGTACGTACGTCGAACCTCTTTCACACCGGACGCAGCGCAACCGTGCGGAGTCGCAGGGAGGGGAGAAGGACGCGAACGAACGAAACCAATCCACGCGGACGACAGCGCCGTCTCCGCGTCGCGGCGAGCGGCGAACCTTGAGGTCGCGATGGACGATGCCCATGCGGTGCAGGTAGCCGACGGCGTCCAAGATCTGTCGGATGAGGCGGCTGGCGTCGCGCTCCGTGTAGAAGCCCTTCTCCACGATGCGATCGAAGAGCTCCCCGCCAGACACCCTGCGCCCGGTGGCACGGCGCGCCAAGGGGGTCACGACGCGTCTCCCTCGTCACTTGCTTTTGCGTGTTGTTTTTTTATAGATTTAAAAGTTTTTTTTATTTTGTTTAAAAAATTATTTGTAGAAATATTTTTTATACATGTTAAAATATTTTTTTATACATATAAATAGTCATATACACATATTTGATACATATTTCTAAAATAATATTTTTTTACTAGCCTTTTGCCCGTCCAAGAACGGGTGTACTGCAGTATAATGTGAAACTTGCAAGCGAAAAGCAATTCGTGTGCAATTTGTAAGGCCGCAGTGACAGAGACTCATTTCATTTAAAGGTTATAATCATGGCATCCTTTTTACTTCTGTCTCAACAACAGCGTTACGGAGATCGCGCAACGTGAGGGCGCCTCGCCCCCCCCCCCCCCCCCCCCCCCCCCCCATGTGGAGCGTTGTCACCTGCTCAGGTATTTAAGATCGTTACTCTTTGGTTCTATTGGGTAAAGTCACGTAGGTGAAAATAAAATAACAAAAAATCACGACGTTTCGGCCACAACACAAGCGGCCTTCATCAGGTGAAGGGACGAGACTGTCTGGAGAACAGCGCTGGAGTGGAAGAAGCCACGCTTAGATCACGACCTTTAAGCTGTGTGAGAAGAAAAAGACCACGCGCCTTGACAAAGGAATTAGCATATAATTTAGCATTGAAACAGCCCAATATAACCAAAGAGTATGGATCCTAGCAGTCACGAAAGCTTTAAATCTAGAAGATTTAAGATCGGTCTAAGGCTTAGGAATGGAAGCCGTGTTCGTGCTGTCCCCTTCTCTCTGAGCTTGTCACTCAGATGCTCAAGTGCTGAGATCGAGCCGAATGAACTCAGATATTGATTGTTATGGGAGGGGCTGTTCGTGACTCTTCCTCCACGTACTCAATGTGGTTTTCCTCGCCGCTATACTGAAAGCCCTTAACAAAAGCATTCTGTTATATATATTTTATTGTTTTATTTCAAGTGGTTGGCCACCTCGTGTGGCCGCGGGTCGTTTGAAGCGAAGTGAAGCCACGGGCCGTTGTCCAACCCATGTCTGACTTCTTGAAGGGAGGGGAGTGGAGGGGGGGGGGGCACTTGCATACAGCACCGGCTTCACGAATTGCAACGCTTTTGGACTCTCTCGGAGTCATTTGCCGTGCCCCCCCCCCAAACGTAGCAGTTGCCCAGGACTCCGCGTCTAAGCAACGAGAAACTCGCGCGTGCTATTGTCTCCACCGTTGTCCGACGATTGGAAAACTTACGATGATCACGCAGCATCACAGGCAGAGAGAGAGAGGTGGGGGGGAGCGGTGCGTGGTGCGCGCTCGGGAGGAAAGGCGTTGTTACTGCTTAATGAAGCGTGGTCACGCGGTCGCATTTTAAACGCCGCGTCAGTTCCCCGGGAGCTGCATCCCCTGTGCCGGAAAGTGCTGTCGGTGGTAACGCCAAAGTGCGGCGCCACTACCACCACCTCCACCACTACCACCACTACCACCACCACTACCACCACTACCACCACCTCCACCACTACCACCACCACCACAATCACCACCACCTCCACCACTACCACCACTACTACCACCACTACCACCACTTCCACCACTACCACCACCTCCACCACTACCACCACTACCACCACCTCCACTACTACCACCACCACTACCACCACTACCACCACCACTACTACCACCACCTCCACCACTATCACCACTACCACCACCACTACCACCACCTCCACCACTACCACCACCACCACCACTACCACCACCTCCACCACTACCACCACTACCACCACCACTACCACCACCTCCACCACCACCACTACCACCACTACCACCACCTCCACCACTACCACCACCACCACAATCACCACCACTACCACCACCACTACTAACACCACTACCACCACTACCACCACTTCCACCACTACCACCACCTCCACCACTACCACCACTACCACCACCTCCACCACTACCACCACCACTACCACCACTACCACCACCACTACTACCACCACCTCCACCACTATCACCACTACCACCACCACTACCACCACCACTACCACCACCTCCACCACTACCACCACCACTACCACCACCACCACTATCACCACCTCCACCACTACCACCACTACCACCACCTCCACCACTACCACCACCTCCACCACCATTACCACTACCACCACCACTACCACCACCTCCACCACTATCACTACCACCACCACCTCCACCACCACCACCTCCACCACCACCTCCACTACCACCACCACTACCACCATCACCTCCACTACCACCACCACTACCACCACCTCCACCACTACCACCACCTCCACTACCACCACCACCTCCACCACTACCACTACTACCACCTCCACCACTATCACCACCTCCACCACTACCACCACCTCCACTACCACCACTACCACTACCACCACCACCTCCACTACCACGACCTCCACCACTACCACTACCAGCCCCACTACCACCACCACCACCACCACATCACCACCAATACCACCGCCAATACCACCACTACCACCACCTCTACTACTACCACCTCGCTTACCCTACCTATACTTCCCACTGTTATCGTGTTTCGTATCGTTTATTGTTGTAACGTTCTGACCCATCCCGACTAAAAAAGACGTTTACAGCTCATCAGATTCCTCCAGGATAGATAAATATTCTGATTCTGACCACCACAACCACCGCCATCACTACCACCATCACCACCATGAACGTCACCACAATAACGACCGTCACAACCACCACTGACGCTACCACCACGAGCACGACCAACAGTCTGCTAGTCCGAGTCCTCAACAAGAGCGGAGGGGAATCAATGATTGACATTGATGAGAACAGTGCCAGTGAATTATGATGAAGATGATGATGATGGATGTTTGGTAAAACTAAATAACAAGAACACCACAGACACAGCAACACGCTATGGGGGGGGGGGGGGCTTCCATCTAGCAGTGGATTGAGAATGGCACTCGAGGCCACGGGGACGCGCGAGGCCACGGGGACGCGCGAGGCCATGAGGACGCGCGAGGCCACGGGGACGCGCGAGACCACGGGGACGCGCGAGGCCACGGGGACGCGCGAGGCCACGGGGACGCGCGAGGCCATGAGGACGCGCGAGGCCACGGGGACGCGCGAGACCACGGGGACGCGCGAGGCCACGGGGACGCGCGAGACCACGGGGACGCGCGAGGCCACGGGGACGCGCGAGACCACGGGGACGCGCGAGGCCACGAGGACGCGCGAGACCACGGGGACGCTCGAGGCCACGGGGACGCGCGAGGCCACGGGGACGCGCGAGACCACGGGGACGCGCGAGGCCACGGGGACGCGCGAGGCCACGAGGACGCGCGAGGCCACGGGGACGCGCGAGACCACGGGGACGCGCGAGGCCACGGGGACGCGCGAGACCACGGGGACGCGCGAGGCCACGGGGACGCGCGAGACCACGGGGACGCGCGAGGCCACGAGGACGCGCGAGACCACGGGGACGCTCGAGGCCACGGGGACGCGCGAGGCCACGGGGACGCGCGAGACCACGAGGACGCTCGAGGCCACGAGGACGCGCGAGGCCACGAGGACGCGCGAGGCCACGGTGGCCGCGTTGTCGAGGTTCCCCGTGCCCGTGCTGGTTGGGAGTTGACGCGTCGCTTCGTCAGCGAGCGCGGTTGAATTGGGGACTCGGCGTGAACCCGGTGCCCGCGGCCCATTCCCCGAATCCATTAGCGACACTAACATCATTAGAACACAATTATTATTATAATTAATAATATACACCATTAGCCGTCCCATTAATTTTTTTGTTATAACGACGTCCGCGTAACGAATTAATCTCGATATTTTCCCAAGGGCTGTGTCACATCTGTCGAAAAGACAATTCACCTCACCTCCCGCCCACAATTAATGTTTTGGGAGTTCTTACGCGTGTCACGGTTTGCGTGTTACGTGTTGTTGTTTTTTTACGAGTGTAAGAGGCGCCCCCGTGTGTCTTCGTGTGCCGTCTATGGCCCCTTCCCAGCGGCTGCACGCCGCTAGCTGCACGCGCGCTGGAGTGTGGACAGCTGTTCTACGTCGCTGCTTTGTTTACATCCAAACCTCTCACCTTCCCATTCACAGTTTTCCACTGCCCCATGCCTCTTCTCTCTCGCTCTCTCCTCTGTTGTTCATTTTCATTTTGATCGGCTCACTGCACCGCGTGGCAGGCCCAGCGGCACTAAAACCTCCCGCGCCTCCCCCCCCCCTACTCAAACACACCGACTCACCCCGAGCAGAAACAAATCCGACTCTGCTGATGAGTCACGGGACGGTCGAAACCCGTCCACAGATTCGCTTGCGTTAATTCTAGATTTGAAGCTTTCGTGACTGCAAGGATCTATACTCTTTGGTTCTATTCGGTAAAGTCACGTAGGTAAAAATTAAACAACAAAAATCACGACGCTTCGGCCACAACACAAGTGGCCTTCATCAGGTGAAGGGACCAAACTGTCCAGCGGACAGCGTTGGAGTGAAGAAAGCCAAGCGCTGGTCGCCTCCTTTTAAGCTGTGAGGGGGTAAACAGTAAACCCCTTGACAAAGGAAATTAGCATAAAACGTACTCCTGACAAAGCTTGGAATTAGCATAAGATGAGGCAATTCAGATTTACAAACACAAACACAATTTCAACCGAGAAGAGGGTTTCAAATTAAGCAACCATTGGAAAGACGTTCTAAATCGAACCAAACATTAAACTAATTTTCAGTGGTACAGTATATTTATTCTAGTCGTGGCACTCCAAACTTCCAAGGTGGTGTATTGTCATCTTATGCTAATTCCAAGCTTTGTCAGTAGTACGTTTAATGCTAATTTCCTTTGTCAAGGCGTTTACTGTTTACCCCCTCACAGCATAAAAGGAGGCGACCAGAGCTTGGCTTTCTTCACTCCAACGCTGTCCGCTGGACAGTTTGGTCCCTTC